CTGTCAAAATACTGTAGAATGATCAGAAAGTAGTGTGTTTGAGCCCTGATGAAGCCGGACTTTAAACAAAAATTTGCCTTGGCTCCCCAGTCGACCCCGCCTTGAGTGGGTAGAAGGTGGAGTCCTGGGAATTAAAGGCGGCTGGCGTGATGCTGATCACATCAGCTACCAGGTGCCAATTGGTCTATAAAATATAGGTCTAGCCCTGTATGCCTAAAGGCGTGGAAAAGGGTCCTTTACAACACTTTTCATTCAAGTTTTCTCATTTATGTGTTGAATACATCTTTGGTGATTTGGGAATTATCTTTCAACTCTGAAAGCTTGTGGAATTTGAATTACTACATTGTAAATATTTCTGTCACGAGAACAAAACAGAAATGCCAGCTTGGTGTGGAGAGTGATCTTCGTTACAACTTGTCCAACATCAGACAAAATAGCAGATATAATCAAGTCAAAACAGTCTCGACTGTTACATTGATTTTGCGCACTAAATTACCAGTTGCTGGTGATCGTTTCTTGTGTTATTTAACACTTTGAATTATGTGCGTGTTTTTTTTTTCGAAGTTTTTATTGACAGTACTTAGGATTTTTCTTTTTATCGACCACTTTTTAATCACATTTTGTTACATTATTGAAGAGAGTTTCTTACTACACACTCAAGGAGGAGCCACATGGAAAGGGATAAGATCAATGCAGTAAACAGAATTAGAGGTTAATAAGGTCTTTACTGCACAAATGGTAGTGAATTTGCAGTAAGCAACTGAAGTAACCATAGGTGAGATGACGACGTACATTAAAAGCATCAAATTTGCAGTAAACAACTTGTTTTGGACAAGTTTTAATTTCCACCAGGAGGAAGTAACTGTGTTGTTATAAGTTGAAAAAATGCCGATATTTCGGCCCATCCCCGATTTTCAACAAAGGGAAGTAAGAACGTTAATTCCCACAGAACTGTCACACAGGTAAAGCTGGTGTCTCCCAGAACGTACTGTCAGACCCTTCGTCAAGCACACTGAACCAGTTAAAACAATGATTAGCGCGTATTCCTTCTTCCACCACTTTTACTTTTCAAAGGTATCAAATTGTTAGTAAAGAACTTGTTTTGGAAACGATTTGATCTACATCAGGAGGAAGTAACTGTGCTGTTACCAGTTGAAAAAATGTCGATATTTCGGCCCATCCCCGATTTTCAACAAAGGGAAGTAACAACATTAATTCCCACAGACCTTTCACACAGGTAAAGCTGGTGTCTCCCAGAACGTACTGTCAGACCTTCCATCAAATACACTGAGCCAGTTTCAACAGGGAATGGAGCATTTTCACTTCTCTAACCGCCTTTACCTTCTGATGATTTTTCCAGGAATTGCTTTCTCGCTGTTTTTCTGTTTGCTATCTGTTCTCTTTTCTGGCTGTTTTTCTCGCTCTCGTTCTTGCCGTTGTTGTTCTTCTCACTATTGCTGCTGCCGGTAAGACAACAACAAATAATACTACTGCAACTGCTGTTGCTATTACTACTACTGCTGCTGCTTTTCCTCTTATTACTACTACTGCTGCTGCTGCTACTACTATTACCACTCCTCTTACTACTACTACTGCTGCTGCTAATGCTGCTACCACTGCTGCTGCTACTACTCCTACTACTGTTGCTACTACGGCTGCTGTTACTACAACTACTAGTAAAACTTGTAACACTGGTATATTTTTTTTGGTTTTACTTTTAATAAGTAATATTGTTATGTTCAATGCAACAGCAGCAGGAGCAGTTGTAGGAGGAGTAGTAGTAACAGTATTATTATTATTATTGTTATTATTTTTATTATTATTATTATTAATTATATTATTATTTTTAGTACTGTAAATTGGACAATTTATCGTGTTTTTTGTATTATCTGATCATGGGTAAAACTAACGTTAGTCTTCCCACGGACCGCCCATATACACACTAGCACACTTCTGATTGGTGGATCTTGAGCCACGTGACCTTGGCACAAGGCTACAAGGGTGTTCCGCAATCTCGTTGATTATGAGTGTTGTATATTTCAGCATGCCAGCGCTTTTAACTCTCCAAAAACATGGGCAAACTCGATCCAACACAACCCCTTAGAGAGTGCTGCACATTAATGCAAGACAACCCATAAAACAAACAGAGATGCACACGCGTAACCTGCAGGAAAGTAGACCAGCCCAACAAACTTGTGAATGAAATGTGACCTACTTTCTTTGGGAAGACTAACTTAAACCTAACCCTGATAGTGTCTTATGTTGTTATTTAGGTGAAGGCACTGTAGAATATTAAACATTGCATTGATGAAAAGAATGCACACGTTGATTAAAAGAACATACATTATACCAGTGGTTCTCATTTTGTTAACTTCCATGGACTTTTCTTATGTTTTCAAGGTTTGCCATAGGCCGCATATATTTTAATAGTTGTACTGAAAAACTTAGCAGTTTCTGTATCGAATGTTGCTCTCATCAGGGCACGCCTGAACACCTCTCTTTCCCTAACCAATTCTTCAACCCTATGTGCTTTCATAGCCAATGCGTATTCAGTGTTTTATATGCACCTTCTCCCGGTGTGGGTTCCAGGCCCCCCTGCCTCCCCAACAAACACGTCTCAGAAGTGACTAATTGGAAGCATTGTATCAAGAAGGATGTGTCATTAATTGGTGCCTGTACATAACGGACTCTGTGAAATGGTATATTATCACTATTTCTGGTCTGTTTAGAAGACAGGCGGGGTAATGATGCTGATAAGGACTGGAGCTGCCATGGTGTAGCGGCAAGACGCCCACCTGTGGAACTGAAGATCTTTCAAATCTGCATAGAGCCAGATGTTTTCCCAACATGATCTTGGCTCCCAGGTCGACCCAGATTTAACTTTGCAATGTAATGTTTGAAAACATTTCTTGTAAAATCTATACTTGAAAATTCCAACATCTCTCTCCCTTATCTGTCCTAATGAAATCCAATTTGTTGGGTTCATATTCTTTTAATAGTTGTTTTTAACTAATTGCTTGAACATATCACACAACTTTGAAATTTAATGTTTAAAAACACTTCTCGTAAAGTCTACATTTGAAAATTCCAACTTCTCCCTCCTAATTAAACCCAATTATTTTGGTCCATGTATTTTTAATAGTTGTTTTAAACTAATTGTTTGAAAGTATCAAGTAACTAAGAAACTCACTATTTCAAAACACCTGTGAAACCTGTGTTGTTTGAGAAATCTGGCATTAAAAGCTGTTAGAATATATTACTACAGAATGTCTCTTTGAGTATTTTATAACAAATAAATGCACACATTGTTATTAACAAGGCTTCATTGGGTGCCTAAATAATTTGCTGGGGAACTTACCAGAAAAAAAATTATTTTTAATCCTCCGCCCATAAAATTTACATTTGCCCAACTAATAAATTCTTTTGAGGTTGAACAGGGTATCCGGGAGTTGCCCTGTCATCCAGATGGAGAATTTGTGATACCAGGATGTGAGACCTTGGGGTAGCAGCCTGGAGTAGGAAAATGAAATGGAACTAAGACAGGACTGGTCCTGTGAGCCTTGGAACATTCACATGTTCTTCTTCGCGTTCACTGGTTGTAAACTCTGGTGGACAGTTTTGGCTGTTCATACAACTCTGAACTTTAGATTTGTTTAGATCTGAGTGTTGCATGCACATCTGTTTTACAAATCTGACTTATTTGTATGTAGACTGTTGGCTCTTTGCCTCTAGGGAAGATGCACTCCGATTTTGAAGGAAACCGCAATTAGTCTACTCTTAAGACATGCTTGTTGGGTAGGCAGGAGGTCTATTCTTGTTTTCCCCACAATGGGGAGTGAAACCCACACTGGGAACTCGCATATTTAAAACAAGGAATCTATATACATACATATGTGTGGGTTCCAGAGCCCTATATGGGGACGGGCTAGGTTTCGAAAAGAGGTGGGGGAGGGGTGGCCGGCCTGCTGCTTCATAATACGCAACTTATTTATGGGTGTTTCATTCAAAGTCAGAATGCATCTGTTTGGCAGGTGAGGAACCAATAGTCTGCATACAAATAAGCCAGAGCTGTAAAACTGATGCGCAGGCAGAACTTGAGCTCTGGAACAAAACCAAAGTCTAGAAGTGGACAAACAACCAGAACTTTTCTGCTCAAGTTTACAACTAGTAAACGCGAAAAACATATCTGAGGTTCAAGACAATCAGCTGTGTGATAAAAGATTTAACAAAAGACGCATCGAAAAGAAATCTTCAGTTTATTATCTACTCAGTTATACTCTTGTTTACACTGCCAGTACACGAAACGTCAGATCAAAAACATAACACACTTTAAATGCAGCCAGCATATCTACAACTGAAAACACACACACAATCTGGAATGTAAAAAAAAATCCATAAAAACTAACTTTCTTTTTTCATCATTCACAGCCTTAAATAAGCAAACGTGGGTCAAAAGTCACCATTCATATGTGGATGTTACGTGAATTCCACAATCACTGTCTTTTTGTGTTGTCTTCCCTCAGACACAATGGTCTGTATAATTTTCCTTGGTCTGCCTTTGCCTCCCCCAACTGTTGATCTCTCTCATTCTTACAAATGTGTATGTTTTACTCTCTCACTAATCCTTTTAAATGAAGGAAATCATTAGTCTACTAACTAGAGGTGTTTACTTTGCAGGCCATCTGTCTGAGAGGCAGGGAACAAAACAGTCTGCATACAAATAAATAGATGTGCGTGTAAAATTCAGGTCTGGGAACAGAAGTGGATAAACAATCAGAACTTTTTGCCGGAGTTTACAGCTGTTGAACGCTCGGAGGAAGAAGACAAATTTTGGCCGTAGCCTTCATCTGCAAGTCCCCCCCCTCCCCCGTATCATTTTGTGTTCAGTGAATTCACGAGGAAACATAAGTTATATATGTATGTAAATAAGTCCAGCTATCAAAACTTTAATTACTACAATGTGACCAACATCTGATGGCCGAACTAATCGGGTTTCTCTTTTATTTGAAGTCATCGCCTGTGTACATGCCCTGTAGAAAAACAACAAAATTAATTGTTAACTTCTTTAAAGAAACAAACACAATTAATCAAATCACCATCTTCCGGGCCATATTATAGAGAAAACAAGAACAGACCCTCTGCCTACAAAAAAACATGTCTTGAGAGTCGACTAATTGGGAGCTTCCTTCGAAGTCCGAGTGCATCTGACTGAGAGGCAAGGAACCAATCATCTGCATATACATTAGATCTGTAAAACAAATGCACACACAACACTCAGATTCTGGAAATGGGCTGAACCCAGAGGTGCAAGAATAACCAGAACTTTGCAATGGAGCTTACAGCCAGTGAACGTGAAGAAGAAATCACCATCTGCAAATTGAAGGGTGGCTGCCATTGATCAACTTGCTGTTTCTTATCCTGGTTGTGACTGGACACAACAGACTTTGCAGACGTAAGCACAAGTAATTCAAGATTGGGGACTCAGAAATGTTCCCACATCCACAGGCAACGAAGAATACTGTACATATGCTGCATTCATACTTTACACACCCCCCACCCCCCCACATCAGACTTTACTCCACCACACAATCATACTTCATTCCCCCATACCATCGCAGATTTTATCCAACCCCCCCCCCCCCCCACTCACCCGATCAGACTTTACTCCACCATGCAATCGTACTTGATTCCCCATACTATCAAATTCAATGCCCATTCCTATCCTGTGTGGGTTCCGGGGCCCTATTATAGGGAAAACATGAATAGACCCACTGCCTACCTAAAAGCATGTTGTAAGAATCAACTAATTGGGAGCTTCCTTTGAATTCGGAGTGCATCTGCCTGAGAGGCAAAGAACTAACAGTCTGCACACAAATGTTTCAGAACTGTCAAAGAGATGCACACGCAAAACCCAGGTTTTGGAACAAGGGTGCAGTCCAGAAGTGGACGAACAACCAAAACTTTCCACTAGATTTTACAGCTGGTGAACGCAAAGAAGAAGAATGCCCATTCACTGAAGATTACCCAGCTTACCTTTGCTCGCCGCAAAACGGAATCTTTGGACGGATCATAGGGACAGTCCTTACTGGGAATCTCCAGCACAGCAGGGATCGGCAGAACATGGGAATCTATGATGTGTCTGATCATTTCTGCTACCTGTAGACAAACATAAACAATCTATGATGTATCTGATCATTTCTGCTACCTGTAAACAAACATAAACAATCTATGATGTGTCTGATCATTTCTGCTACCTGTAGACAAAATACAAACAATAAAATGACTTCTTTTCTCTATTCCTGAAATACCCCCCTGCATAATGACAGGAACAGATCTCTGGAACCACCCTTCTGTTAATCTCGTATCAAGTACTCTTTAGTGCCTGCAATATTTCCGCAGTCTTCTGCATTATCGACCTCTATATATGTTACCGTTGCATCTGTACAACATTGTTACCTCCACACACCGACTGACTGATTAGAACCACTAACACAGCACTCTGGAAACACTCACATTTGCTCAGTCTCTAACAGCAGATGTTGCAGCTAGATGCTCCACCACAAATTATCAGGTTTGAATCCGCACCCAGCCAAATATTTTTTTCTCTCCAAAAGTGACCTCGCTTAACATGCCGACCCAGCCTAAAATGGGCAACAGGGACGATTATGGGAAGTAAAAGTGGCAGCAGTGGTGCTGACCAAAGCACTTATGGAGGGTCACTCAGTCTAAACAAACCAAGAGCCTATAATCATATGCCCAACACCTCCCTTATGCATGCAAGTGGTGCTATTTGTTCCAAGCTGAGAGATTTATCGAAACCGTTCTGCTGTCTCTATAGTTAAGCACCAGCAAGGAAATGAAAATATAATTGTGAGAGCATGCACCTTCTCTGTAGCAACATATGGATGTGAGTCATGGACTGTCTCCCAGTCCTTAAGGAAAACAATCGGGACTTTTGAGCTGAAATGCTATAGAAATAATTCTCAGAATATTTCACTTAACTGACACACCATCATCATCACCTCATACTCATAAAAAAAACAAAAAAAACTAGACGTTAGTGGACGAAAATGTCTAAGAGAATGCTCCTCGATAAAGAGGAAATGGCACTGCAAGGAGACAAGTCGACGAAAGACAGAATACTGTGGCTCTTTTGTGCCAATGCCAGTGGTGATTTTAAGATAACATCTGTGTTGGTTTATCACTCTGAAAATCCTAGTTTTGAAACAACAGAAAGTTTACAGACACAGACTCAACTTTATGTGGACAAGTAACAGCACAGCTTGGGTAACCAGGCAATTCTGAGATTGGATAGACTGATTTCCCGTAAGATATAATGGGAAATTGGGTTTCAAGGCACAAACTTTCCAACATGGAATCAACCGTCAGGAACGATGCAAGTTCATTGGTCAAGACCACTATACTATCCATATCTAGACAAAAGAGATGGGATACTAACGTTCTGGTTGATGAGAACAATCCCAATGTCATTTCTTTTCAGGAACCCTCGGAAAGTGTCTTCTATCTCTGCGATACTTGTATCTGTAGAACAAAGCACAATATTTCAACCAGTAGCTAGCACACCATTAGCATAAGAATAATCAATTACACAATTATTTAGTTTAAAAAAAAAAAATATCCAGACACCTCTAGTCTCGGTACTATGGATATGGCAACCCTTCGGCCTTGATTCCATGACAAATACCGTAAATCTGGGAGAAATGTGGCTTTTCTTCCCATTCCAAGACAACAAGGAGTTCGTCACCAGGTCACCATGCAGTCAGGTTTAGCCAACTGAGCTAGTGAGCCGGGCAAATTATTAAGTTAAAACAAACACTTTAAAATCCTATAAAACACAATATACCTAGAAACTTAATCTCGCCAACAAATGCACACAGAAGTCGGAAGTGTCATCCAAAAGGTGAAAATATCAAAACTGTGTTGTAAAGAGGCACAAAGTAAAGAGGATAAAGGCAGAAGTAGAAATCCTAACAAGTTTAAGTAAGTTTCGTCTAATATGCGCTCCGTCCCCATCCTCAGCAGCCAGCGCAAAATTTCAAAACTAATGGTGCCAGTCGCAGTCAGGTTGTATGTCTGTCTTGCCTTTCCTCTGAGCATAATGTGCTGGCCGAACCATTTGGTCACACCCAGGTGCATCATTCTCTCTGGCCCCTTATAACCTAGTCTCTCTTCTGACTTTGTTACTTGTTCCCAAAGAGCTCTGACCACATCTGCCTTGTCATGTATCAATTCACCACCCAGCGGTGCAGACCCAGCCAGTCCCTTCCCCACCATTCGGCATGGCCTGGAGAGAAGATGAGACATAGAGAAGACTCCTGACAATCATTAAGGCAGAGATATCCTGTTTAAAACTGCCAAATCCAGACAAGCATGGCCAGAGACACCAGTCCAGTTAACACAGCACTTCTTTTTCTTCAACAGCTGTAAACTACAATGGAAAGTTTCTGGTTGTTCGTCCATACATGCACCCTAGTCCTTTTCCAGAAAATGAATGCTGCAGTTTATCAGGTCTAACTCAACAGTATGCAGACTGTTGGTTCCTTGCCTCTTCGGCAGATGTACTCCTTTGAATGAAGCTTCTAATTAGCCAACTTTCCGGACATGCTTTTGGGTAGAGGGTTGGCCTGTTTTTGTTTTCCCCACAAAGGGGGGGGGGGGGGGGGGGGGGGGGGACGACAGCACTTGATCTGGATGTTTGTACAATTCTTATGATCATAATCACTCATCAAACTAACTCTAATCTGTAAGATTAATTTGACTATAAGATTAACTAAGCACTTACTTTTGTCAACCACCATGAAATTGGTAGCTCTACTTTTGTTCACCTCTCCGATGCCACCCAGCAAGAAACCAATGCATGTGTCCTGCAAAATAACAATTAACTTCAAATGGGGGAAAAAGACAAGTCAGAGGAAGTTGCCTTTAATTCTTCCAAAAATGACATTTAAAAATAATTAACTGGCAATTATTATCATATTTACGTGTTTACAGCCCACACATGTGTATAGGTCGCACTCCGTTCCTTAGATTTTATGAAAACTTATTTGCTTAGAAATTCAAGACCAAAACCGAGGCAGCAGCACGTGTGAAAAGTGAAAGATGGGCCACGAAAGGCAAGTTACAACTGCAAATTTAAGTTGCCAGTTAGTGTGTTATGTGCAAGAAAATGCAACTGAGCAGCTCTAAGGAAGTTCGGTAAAGATGAGAAAAAATATGTGAAGATGGGCTGGAATAAAAAATGCTTTAAAAAAAAACACATTTCAAACTCAACAATCTTCTCGTGATAATGATGTGAAATACCCAGCAGAAAAAAAAAAAAACAATCGGCTGGAATATGTCCAGAAAATACCGGCAGATGTGTTTTCTGTGTTAATGGAAATGTTACAGCTTGAAGCATGTCAATTATCAGACATAATAGGAATTCCTCAGAGTGATTTTAAAGCTAATTGTAGCACACAAGGTGATTTATGACCTTGTGATTTAGCGATGGACAGCAATGGAGTCCATTTATCTTCTATCCCCCAATCAGACATAGACCCTCAACTCACGCCAAATCGTTCTATCCTTCACTACTGCACTTTCTAGCTCACTTCTCCATGTGTTTTTTTAAGCCTTCCTTAATTTCTATGCCCCTGTGGGTTCCAGTACAAAGACATTCTAGTTATATTGTTCTCAGGTTTTCTCAACGTGTGTCCCATTCAACGCCGGCATCTTTTCCTCACCTCTTGGTCCACAAGAACTTGGTTAGTTCTCTCCCAAAGCTTTACATAAGTGATTCTATCATATCATTTAATTCCCTCTATTCTGAGCTTGTAGTTTTTTAATAACTGCCTTAGCTGTTCTCCATGTTTCGGCTCCATTACTCGTTTTTATTAGGTCTGTTTCAGAATGGTGTGTTATTTATTACTAAATTTTGTACAAGTGACATGTAGACCTAATATCTTGAATATAAGCCACACCTTTTTTTTTCCCTCATCCATGATTTTTCGGTTAAAATGCTGCTGCCTACACGTGACTAAACACGGCACAACTATTTCTGTCAGTTTATAATATGCCCTGTCATATAAAAAGCACCCCAAAAATTAAAAGACTTTGTCCAGAAAAAAAAAAATTACAAACTCAAATTTAAAGAAAACTATATCTCTTAAAACTAACCTTCAGAAGCTTTTAAATTCACTCCTATTTGCTTGAATTTTTAAATTTTTTTAATCGCTAACGTTACGCTCATGAGCACTACAAGATTTTGTAGGAAAAAACTAGAATGCGGCAACTATGACAAATAATGGTACACGTAGGCCTACCCTTGCTTTATCTTCTTCTTTGTTCACTTCTTCTTCTTCTTCTTCAATCCTTCTGTCAGAAAACTTAGATCAGGAGGCCGGTAGCCTTTATGAAAGCTATCGTGCAATCCATATCCTCTTGTGTACCATACAGTTTTGTCTTCATTGTGGTTGGATCAGGCCAGATTGCGTCTCTGTTGTCAGCATACAGTTGACAGTGTTGGAGCACATGCTCAGCATTTTCGGGTGCCACGCTGCAGGGACACGTTTCCGTATTTCCTACACCGAAAAATTTGAACATATGTTGGCGTAATCTGTTGTGCCCTGTCCTTAGTCTGAATATAATAGACTGTCCCTCTCTAGAGAGGCGATGAAGTGAGTCTTGGGGAGAAAATCTGGTGTGGGTATCCAGCCACCTTTCTTGGATACTAGATTGTATTAGTGTTTTCATCTCTTGGTGGGTTAAGTCGCTATTTGGTTGTACCATGTCACTGCCGCTTCTGGCCAATCTGTCCGCTATTTCATTGCTTTGTTCACTGACTGTAAGCTCTAGCGGAATGTCACGGTGTTCATCCATTTGGACTGGCTTTGCGTCAGGGCATGAGTTTTGCGTGTATGTCCATTTTACTGGCTTATTTGTGTGTGGGAGTTGTTCCTTGCCACTTGGGCAGATGCACTCTGACTTCAAAGGATGCTCCCAATTAGTCGACTCCTATGGCATGCTTGTTAAGGGCATGGGGGGGGGGGTTTATTCTTGTTTTCCCCCACAATGGGGCCCCAGAACACATACGGGGACTTTGTTGTATAAGACACAGCCTAATTTTAAGAACAAAAATGTGCAGCTTATACTATACAACAACTAATATAGAAACTCTTTTAGTCCTAGACAGTTGTTGCTCTAATATTGTTTGTTCGAAAGTGAATGTATATATTATAGGGACAGTTCTGGGGTCTCTCGGAGTTATATAAGAAAGAATAGTGAAAATAACATTAGGAATATAATGAATTATCGGCTCAGAACTGAAGAGAATTTGTAAAGAAATGTACACCGTGTACTGAGTAATCAGTAAATGCATTTTCAGTTACTTAGAACTGAAAAAACAAATAAGCTATGACAATGATGCATTTGCCTGATGTGTGAAAACTTCGTTACCAACTACCCCAAGTTGCTTCTATTGCCTTGCTTCTATTGCAGCTCTTGGAGGGCAATCTAGAAAAGACTGTGCAGTATTCTTAAAATGTGCACACAGTATATTTTGTTGTTGGTTTGCTTGCTGATGAGGGGCTTTTTTTCCATTAATGCTGAGTCTTTTACTTTCACTTGACTTATGTCATAAAGCGTATATTTTTATGGACTTTAAAAAAAAAAACTGAACAGCTGCTGAACAGATAATCTGATTTATGACTGCAGCCAGAAATGGCTTTTATAACACATGTAGCTAAACAGTTCACACCAAAGACATTTTCTACGTCATCATAAGCTCAGCATTGACCTCTGCTGGGGGGAGTCCAAGTGTCACAGTCAAGTAAGTAAATGCATGGGCTATTCAGTGTGCAGTTACATCAATTCTTCAAATAACCATTTGAGACTTGTGTTTATGAGATGAGGGGTCACTGGAGCTTAAACCACAGACTTATTATAGTATTATAATACTGTCAGACATGTTTGTCACAAGACAAGAGGTTCTTCTTCAAGTGTCCGCTCATTTATGTTTACCTTCACGTCGGGTGTCAGACCCCAGCTAATTAATTAATTAATGCAGTAAAGAGTAACCAAGGTTTACTTTTACCAAGAGAAATTATTACAAGAAAACTAAGAGCACCACAAAGCTAGATTTAAACTTGAACAAGTAACCGTAAAACTAAGTTAATGTTACTACTTGTCTTCGAAACAAATTCACCAAGGTGACACTACCCTCACCACACGAACTTGACAATCTCACAATGACTGACTAATTACAAAACTGAATAAGATATACAACGAATTCGTGTTGTCAATAATAAGCTTACATGCAAAAAATGAATTTTATTATATGTCGCCACAGTTAAATATACAATCATAAAAATGTATCTTTAAAACTGAACACAAAGGACAAAAATAATCTTAAAAATCTCGGACGCAGCAGTCAGAATACTTAAGACTACAGTCATCACATCCACAACATGGTTTACTTTCAAATGATAAGTTCCCACGTAAATATTCACAGCATATCGCTACTACAAGAGAACACAGATATCTGAAAACTTATGTTTATCGTAGTCTGGTGTCTAGAAATGGAAGAAAATGTACCTCATCCCCGATGACAGCGATAAGTTTACCAGGCTTGAGTGCCATTTTGATTTTTCCGTTGTCATATGATAACTGACAGGGCCAGCTTTTTCCCGCAGCCAAAAGTGAAACAAGGAATTTCAATGCTCTTAATGCTGCCACAATATTTAATGGGTAATTCCAATGCTTTAGTTGATCTTAGTTGGTTGATCTATAGGCCCAGGCTGCATTAGAACAGCAAGAAGCAAGTCTGAAACAGCAAGAATTAGCATTACAAGAGAAGGAGATAGCGATCCAGGCAGCCTTATAGACTAATTTACTGGACGTTGCAGAACCAGCTCAATAATTTTTTAGCTGTTGTAGCTTTCCAAAGCAAATTTTACCTTCTTCTTCATCATCATCATAATCTTCTTCTTCTTCTTCTTCTTCTTCTTCTTCTTCTTCTTCTTCTTCTTCTTCTTCTTCTTCTTCTTCTTCTTCTTCTTCTTCTTCTTCTTCTTCTTCTTCTTCTTCTACTTCTTCTTCGAGTTCACTGGCTGCAAACTCCAACGGAGTTCTTGTTCGTCCACATGTAGGCTTTCGCTTGTTGAAAGAACGGTTTGGCTTACTTTATGTAGACTGCTGGTTCCTTGCCTCAGGGAAATACACAAGGAAATAGGCAGTTAAACCTAACAGACAATGCTCATTCTTCTTCTTAAAGTCCATGCTGTGTGGCGTTGGAAGTCATGTCTATCCATAACCGTCTGTCTCAAATACTTTCAGTAAATTCTGATAAAGATGATCCTCTATGCCATGATTTCAAAATGTCCAGCGTCTGTACTCTCGGTCTCCCTCCAGCTTTCCTCCTGTCACGATGTACTTCAGTTTTCTCCTTCTTATCACGTGACCGACTGTACCCTAACTATTAATGATGGGTGTTTCCTTCGAAGTAGGAGTACAACTGCGTAAAAGGCGAGAAGCCAGTAGCCTGCATAGAAATAAATCAATGTAAATGAGATGTGCACACAAAACTCAATTTCTAGGTCAAAAGCAAAGAATCCAGAAGAGGACAAACAGCCACATTTTTCAGCTGGATTTTACCGCTGGTAAAAGAAGAGAATCAGTAATCAGTAAGCAACGGACTCATGAAGCGGAGAGACAACGAATCATATGGGTTAAAACTTGAGACAGTGAAGTCAGTCGTCTGAGCTTTATATTTTAAACGCTAGCTACCCAGAACTTCGATGCTTGCCGCTCAGCACTGAGCATACCAATCTCCATATTTCTCAACGTGCTTTTTGAGTTAGTTACAATCACTACCTGTGGGTGCAGCTGGCTCTCAAGCAAGGTAAAGGCTGCAGCGACCGCCTTCACCTCCACTTTCAATTCTTTTATCTATATTGCAACAAAAAGTCCTTCACAGTCAACCTGGCAAAGGGCGTTCTGATAAAACTAGGGGGAACTACTCTCATATATCAAACTTCCTGTTTCATTTCTGCCAACACCAACGATCCAGAGATCAGAGGCATTTCGCAAACACAACACACAACTTTCGTTACTTATTTTGTATGTCCTGTCAGAGAAAAGAAGTTGGTATGTGGTAGATTACCGCCGTAACGAGAGTGTTATAAATGTGTTTGCTGATGTAGCTAAAAATGTATAGCAGTGTTTTAATAATTAGTTCAGAGCAGACAAGTCGGTGTCAGGCGGTCATTAATTTACATTTGTCACTTCTTCTGCTGCTTATCTGTATTATTTTCTGTATGCATATGTCTCAATGTTATGTTATGTCTCTATATATCTCTAGTTGTCTGTGTGCATATATGCCTAATGTCTGTGTGTGCATTTGTTTCTGTGTGTTTGTCTGTCTGTGTGGGTGTGTACGCATATCTTTATGCACCTATGCCTTTTGTATGTAAGTATGTGTGTGTATGTTTGTATCTGTGTGTTTGTCTCTGTGTGTTTTCTGTGTGTATATCTGGCTGTGTGCGTGTGTGTGTGTGGGGGGGGGATATGTCATTCTATGCTGGTCTGTGATTGTCTCTGTGAGTGTCTGGATGCACGGATGTATGTATGATGTATATTTATGTGTGTATATGTGAGTATATGTTTGTATGTGTGTGTGTCTGGGGTGTGTGTGGTGGGTATGGGCGAGTATGGAATATGTAGGTGTGTATGTGGGTGAACAAATAGGTTGACATTTGGGTGTGTGTGCACGCGAGTGTGTCCATGCATTTTACCATCCATGCTTTTGTGATTTTTTGGGTTTTTCATAATATGCATATTATTATATAAGCATAACATGCTTTATTGATAAATCACAACTGCTATGTGAAAGGTGGATGTTTAGAAGGGCCGAATGTAAAACGAGCCTGCATGCCCAATTTGTAACCCTTTGTTCATTTGTTTGTTCTTCTTCCTCTTCTTCTTAGTCCTTAAAATTAAATTTGACAAGTTGTGTTGTGATTATAACTATGATGTGAAATCTGCGCCTTTAAACAAACCCCTGTTTAGTCACCTTTTGATTTTACCACTTCATTGTTAGGGGCAAAAGGGTCTATCCCCCCCCCCCCCCCCCCACCTCACAAGTATGGCCCCGGAACCCACACGAGGAGAGAGATGGGTATATTCATAAATGATTCAGTCAACTGTAAAATATAAGTGATATCTCTATGGCTTCAGACTCACTGGGTTTATGGGCATCCACCTTATGATCTCGGGTCAATCAATATGCTCAAGAAGATCAAGAAGGGTTCCATACGGAGACAATTGGGGGAGTCCCTGAATAGATCTAGGTTGAAGAAAATCAGCTTCATATTTGTTCCAGGGCATTCTGGTGTGCAGGGCGATGAATGAGCTGACAGGAAACAGACGAGTAGTGGATGGGGCTCTGATATACTGAATGCCTTCAGTGAGGCAGCTCGATTGAACAAATCAAGTAATGATTGTGAATCCACAACACTGACAATACTGCACCACCATGACATCAAAAGGGGTGAAGCCAGACAAGAGCCTACACAGAGGCCCAGATAAGTAAAGTAAACCAACACAGAACTGGTATCATATGCCACCACACACTGAGGCAGATACTGCAGAGGGGATCTGAGCACTTATGGACTGAAGGGTTTGATGTGCGATGATGATCTGTCAACTAACTGACTGGGCATCCTCCTTACTTGTTCAATCCACAGGTATTGTGTCAGATTAGTCACAGTACGCTTATGGAGCTACTGAAGAAGAAATCAGAGTAGCAGATGTTTTTAAATTTGCCCCCACTGTAATTGCATTATGTAAGATTAAAACCTCAAGGATGAGAATCAAAGAGGTTCAAATGCCAGAAACTATGTTCATGAGCATAACACAGTTATACTGGGGCTCCTTGTGGTTAACAGAGTAAACTGTAGTCCATAAAGGTTGGGTGTGGTATGCACCACCTTAAGTTCAAGGTATATATATAGTGATAGGTAAACTGTCAGTCCCTAGAAACTGTGAGTTCAGTCATAACAGTGTGCTGCTGTTTTTGGAGTCTAGTCATAAGAGTGTGCCACTTTGTGTGTGTGTGTGAAGTCCAGTCGTAACAGTGTGCAGCTGTTTTTAAAGTCCAGTTGTAACAGTGTGCCTCTGTTTTTGGAGTCCAGTCGTAACAGTGTTTTTGGAGCAGCATCTGCTATGAAAGTAAAGCAGAGCTTTTTCCCGTGGTAAGCAGTACCGGCAGCCTCTTATAAGGCATAAGTTTTGTCCCGGTGCTGCTGTAATAAACACGTCATGTTGCGTTCACAGTCTACAAAAAAACATTGATACTCTTTTATAAAGTTCAAGATAGCCACCATTTTGTCTACATATGTATGTCATTTGTTTGATGTAATACATTTTTCTTTTGTTGTTAATTGCAGGGACACATAAAAGGCTATATTGTATGGAAGAGAATCAAATGATACTACTGAAGCATAGTCTGTGATAGGTGTGCATGGTTTTTTTCTTCACATGATGCCACTCATTGAAGGCATTGGAGATGAAGTTACTCTAGTCCTTGGTGGATTTTTACTATGCGTTATCCTGATGTTTGCTTGGTTTTCCACCCACACAGCAGATATTCCACTGCTGCGTGAGGTCGGAGTAATTGTCGTTGAGCTCAGCCAGAGGCGGAGTCGTTCTCAGAATACTGCAGGCGAAGAAAGGTCAACTAGAGTCAATAACGGCAGCTCTATAGAACGTGAAAATGTTACCGGAAATGAAGACGTTCAAAGGGATGAAGCAAGCACCAGTTTAGATGAGACTTCTAGTTCCCAGACCAGAACTGGGTCGGTTTCTGAAAGTCCTGCTGCTCCCTCAGCTGTGCCAACAGATGAAAGTTCTGGCGTTAAAGAACCCGATGTCCTAACATCACATTTAGTTTCAGGACATGCAGAAGGGTCATCAGATGCAGCTGTGCTAGATGAATCTGTACCGAAGGCATCTGTTGTTGTGGATGACAGCAAAGGATTTACGTATTCCACAGAAGAAGACATTAGACAGCGGAGAGTTCATTACTTCAAAACCAATAAGCCGGAAAATGGCAGTAGTGAAGAAGATGCCGCACAACCAAGGTCTGAAGGTAAATCATCTAGTCTTTCGGGAATGCAGACTTTGGACAGAGATAGCCCAGGATTGTTGAATGATGGAGCAGCTGTCAATGATGCTTCTAATTCAGACCAAACCAGAACAGTAAGGGCAACACAGGAACATCTTACATCCACATCAGCAGTGAACCTGGAAAATATTGCCTCCAGTTTGCTGGAAGAAAGTATAAATGTTGCAGAGGATTCAAGCTTGCAAGAAGAAAGTTCAAACCAGTCAAAGATACGAGTCAAACTGAAGTATATGAACGAAACCCAGAGACTTGTCTACGCGGAACCACTTGATACGATAGGAGAGTTTAGGAGGTGAGTGCGGAATTTCTTCATTAACATCATCCTATTTTGTCATCAGTGTCAAACACTATTATCTTCATACCACTTATTCATCATTCTAGAGTTCCGTCGATGATTCTGGATTCAGAGATTATTTTTAGAGTTCTGTAGGTAATTCTGGAGTTCCATAGATGATTCTGGATTTCCACAGATATTTCTGGAATTCCATAGACAAAGGTAGATGATTCTGGAGTTCCATAGATGATTCTGGAGTTTCATAGATGATTCTGGAATTCCATAGACAAAGGTCCGTAAATAATTTATAGAGTTCCATAGATAATTCTGGAGTTTCAAGGAGGATTCTGTCAAGAAAAGATAAAAAACCTGAACGAAAAGTATATCAACATTAAAAAAAAAAATAATCATTCTATAGTTTCGTCCTTTTTAGGACAAAATTTTTTATTATTTGAAGCCCCGCCCTGGCTTTTGCCGGGGGCCACAATATTGGCAGGCCTGAAATGTGGCCAATTGTCTGAACGCGGTTTCTGGGACCTCTCCGCGGCAGTCCTCATCCACATGGTGGCACTTTGTGTCATCGGGTGTTTATCGCTTGTGTGATGTCCTTGTGGGGTAGAAAGTCAGTCAGTATATCAACAAGCTTCACAATATGACAAACACAAACAAAACATCAACATTGCAGCTATGGAGCCTTCATCAGCACATTCATAAATAAACAATACCACACAAATAAACAAAATTACTTAGCTTAGTAACTCGAAGCAGCCAGGTCGATGTCTTGTCAGTAGACTGATGAGACATGTGAGGCAAGAGAATAAATACTCCAGGGGAATTCCAGGGGCCATAACTGAAGGATTTTAAAAAAAACTGTGTGGGCACTTCAATCCCCTAGGAGTTTAAATGAAACTGTGTTGGCAGTTCAGTCCTCTAGATGTTATTGTGCCCAAAGTAAAAATAAAGCAAATTTCAAGAGACTGGTGGCAGTGGATCTTACAACAAAAGCTTAAGTCACTGACAGTTACTGGTACCATCGGATTGGAATGCTTCGCTTACTGCTGAAGACGGGGATGGAGTGCTTATGGGAGTGTCAGTAATTGAACACAATTTACTGGTGGGTGGAAGGGGGGGGGGGGAGTCAAGGGATTGTCACACACACTCCAGGCGCTGCTTTGGATTGAAAGAGTTGAGGATCAAATGGTTTCATGTGCAGTGAGGATGAACTGTTCACTTGCTAACTAATTAAAACTATACCACAATTCCTCCGTCTGCAGAAATAATTTTCAGGCGGAGTTGCAGGAAAACAAATGGGTCCGATTCATTTACAACGGACAGGATCTACGAGACGACGCCCGAACTCTGCAAGCCTGCAACATTTGGGACAACTGTACAGTTCACTGTCTGATCACTGCCCAGACTGAGACACGCCTGCCGCGGGATGCAGTAGCAGACGATGAGGAGGACTCTATCATGGGGACGATGATGTACCCGCTGTTTACGATCATTATTGTAATTGTGTGGTACTTCAGATTTACGTACAGGTGAGTTATTGTTTCATTTCATGAATGTTTTCTTTTAATATCTTGTTAGTCTCATCAAGTGGTTGTTCTGTATCTTCACAAATCAGCTGTGTGCCTTCTATACACTGGGATAGATAGGTAAGTAAGTTGTACCCCACCAGGACATCACACAAGCGATAAACACCTGGTGACACAAAGTGCCACCATGCGGATTAGGATCACCGTGGAGATGTCCCGGAAACCCCATTCAGCCTTTAGGTCATATTTATGGCCCGGCTATACTTTAGGACCTCGGCCATTGCCAGGGCTTCTCAAAATAACAAAAAAAGTTGCATCCCACAAGGGGATGACCTAACTGCAAACACTAGGATGTTATCTCTAAGCTATAAATACATTGAGGCATCATCTGAAGCCTGTCATTCCAAGAAGAAGCAAACCTAGGAATTTCCACCCATGCCTCAGTCTCACAAATCCTGCTTACTAGGCATTTCTTTTAATAAAGTTTTAAAAAAAAAAGGAAAGAACTCTTTTCTATGCCTTTAGGCAAATTGGACATATATGGCTAGACCTTAGGCATATAGGGCTAGACCTATATTTTATAGACCAGTCGGCACTTGGTGATGTGGTCAGCCACCTATATTTCCCAGGACTGCACCAGATACCTACTTAAGGCTAGGTCGACCTAGGAGCCAAGGTCATTAAAATAAAAAGTCCAACTCCGTCAGGACCCAAACCTATGACTTTCTGATCCTCAGGTAAGCATCTAGCCACTACATCACGGCGGCTCCCATTTGTTTTCATTTATAAATAATTTGTATGTGTTTAAATGCATTAGTGACCTCTGCTATGCAAACGATTAGGAAGAATATACAACCAGAAATAGGTGAAGAGCAGTGTGAGTTCGTGGAAGGCAAGACTAGAACAAATGCTGTTTATCTCCTAAGGACAATTATAGAACGTTCAGTAGAAGTAAATAAAAATCTCCTTCTCTCCTTTATTAACTACACAAAGGCTTTGGGGGCAGTAAACGAGACACTAGAGAAATGCAATATGACATCACGGCAAGCTACACAACTAACAAAGACAGTACGTCTAACTGCCCTCTCTAATGGTTTACGGTATAAGCCCTAGGTCAACAGAAGAAAGAAAGAAAGAAGAAGCTTTATGTAAGAAGAACACTTTCTTCTTCTTAAAGTCCATGCTGTGTTAGTAGTCATGTCTATCCACAACCTTCTGTCTCATGTACTTTCAATCAACTCTGACACAGATGGTTTTCCATACCACGATGTTAAACTGTCTACCTCTGCCTCTCTTCCCCTCAAACTTTCCTACTGTCACGATGTACTCCAAGTTTTCTCCTTCTCATCACATGACCAAAGAATTAAGATTGTCTCTTTCTGTGTGGGTGATCAGTTTTTCCTTAGTTTCTTTCAAGACGTCTTCATTACTCTTTTTAACTGTCCAGTGTATTCTCATTATTCATCTATAAAACCAAATCTCGCAGCTTCTAAATAAGTTTTCACTATTTACTTACTGTCCATGATTCATATTCGCATATCAATACAGGATTTATATATAACTTTTAAGAAGTCTCTTTCTCATCATAATTGACAAAGAAAGATTGAATAAAATATTCTTCATTTTGTAAAATGCTGCCTTTGCTTGAGCTGTTCTACTTTTAACTTTCTGAATACACCTTCCATCTGATGTTATCCAGGTGCCCAAACTGCAACTCTCCGGTGGCTAGAGATCAAAAGCATACACATGTCGTAATTGTAACAGACTCTGAAGGCATGCTGAGAAAGGTGAAGACAGGGATGCTTCGAGCAGAGTGGCAAACTTCACTAGGAAGGTCACGGGTAGTGAGCATACTTTGGATCTTTTCTCCAGGCTATGCCGGCATGGTAGGTAATGAACGGGCAGATAGATTGGCCGGACCTGCACCACTGGGTGGTGAATTGATACATGACAAGGCAGATGTGGTCAAGGCCCTTTGGGAACAAGCAACGGAATCAGTAGAGAAAAAAGATTATTATGGCCTGAAGAAAATGAGGCACCTGGGTGTAACCAGAGGGTCTGGCCGGATCACTGCACTCAGAGGAAAGGCAAGACGGACATATAACCAGATTGTGGCTGGTGCCATCAGTATTGGAACTCTGCGCTGACTGCTGAAGATGAGACCGGAGCACACATGGGAATGCTCTGAGTGCTGTGATGTCAATTCTTAACTCAGGTAAACATATCAACTTGCTTGAAGCCTGTCCCATTTACTTTGATGCAAAGAATACTTTAGTACATGATTTCTCTGTTTCAAACAATTCTAAAGTACATTATCTGTCCATTTTCAGACAATACTTCAGTGCCATGAGCACGGTCTGCCTCATTGGCATCAGCTTCTTGTTGGCTCTCAGTTACATTTCCTCCCTGAGGACCGCCGACCGTAACCCTCCGCAACTCAGGGTCGGCTCCTCGACACCTTCGACTGCTGGGGGCGGACGAAGTGGACAACAGGAAGAGCATCAGCATGCAGACTGATCACAGAAATGCGTCGACTATTGAAACATACAGCATAATTATATTTAACTAAAGAAGAATTCACTATTTGCTTGTGGTGGAACATAGAAGACATGATGAGATTTTCGTTGATACTTTGATTTTGTTTCCTTTGTTGTACTGAGTATTTATATGTATAGATGGCTGTGTTACGATGGTAAAGTCAAGTAAATGACCCTTTTCATGTCTTTAAGTGTCTCGGGCATATAGGGCTAGACCTAATTTTTTTTAGACCAATCAGCGTCTGGTGGGTGATATGGTCAGCAGAACTTTAACTGTTACCCGTTTAAGGCTGGGTCAACCTGGGAGCCAAGGTCATTTTCAGGACAATGCATAGATATATTTTGTTTAATATGTGTCTTTTTCTCTTCTTCCTCTTCCTTTTCTTCTTGTTCTCTTCTTCCTCCTCCTCATCTTATTGTTTTTGTTGTTCTTTTTATGCTTCTTCTTCTTCTTGTGATCACATCCCTGATGTTCACACACAGACAAGACGGATATACAATCACACAGTTACTGGGGCCATCGGAATTGGAACCCTTCGCTTGCTGCTGAAGATGAGGGCAGAGTACTTATGGGACTGTCCCGAGTGCTATGATGTGGATTCTTAATTCAACATTTAACATTGTATTAAAGTTGACCGTTTGTTTGGAGATCCTCTGTGGTTCCATACAGCTTTAAGTATGGCAGGCTTTATTTTTGTTAGCAAGAATTCTGTGAACGCAGTTCTTCCTTGAGCAGCTTTTGTCCGGGAATCTGTAACATCTGTTTAACAACTTCATATATTGATTTTCTATGTTTTATTTAACTCTTTCAGTCACAAGGAACGTATCATACTTTTATAGGTTCCTGTCTAGAAGCCCAGTGAACCCAAGATGTGCCGAATATACGTTTCAGTGGATCCCCCCCCCCCCCCCCCCCCACTTCCACAGCAAAACCTGCAAGAAAACACATGGCCAGAGGGAAGAGGCGTCCAGGACAAACTTTAGGGAACCCTTAGAGTCTTGCCGCAGAACAAACTTTGGAAAACCCTTGGAGACTTGCTGCAGAACAAACTTTGGAGAAGCCTTGGAGACTTGCTGCAGAACAAACTTTGGAGAACCCTTGGAGACTTGCTGCTGACAAGTTGGTTCATGGAAGCAACACAACTGCAGAGAAGGACTATGTTTTATTCTGTCTCATGCAACAATGTCACAAACCAACTTGCTCCAATTTTAAAACACCCTGCTATCCTAATTGAGACAAAACAACATAAATACAATATCTATACCAATTTTAGGTTAGCAATGTCAGACTTGGACATTGACAAAAGAAAACTAACCACCTGTGAAATGAGATGTTTGAAAATGGCTGTGAATAAAACTAGAAGAGATTGAGTAAGAAATGACATGATCACAAGAACTGTTGGAACAACACCCATCGTCAAATTTATTGAGAAACAAAGAATGAAATGGTTTGGTCATCTGTTGGGAATGAAACCAACGATGTCTGCAGCAAGACAACCTGAAAATCCAAACATTAAGAGGTATGGGAAGACTGAGAAGAAGATGGATTGAAGGAGTCACTGACACCTTGAGACTGCATAAAATCACGGCATATCAAGCCACCGAGCGCACCTTGGCTCTGCTGCCGATCGCCTGATGAACTGTGACGCCTGCTTGTTTCCAAAGGGCCTTGACCCCATCTGCCTTGTGACCTGTAACCAGATGTATAACCTTCAGGTGAAGACGTTGCTGGAGCTAGTCCATGCTTTATAGAACAATGCCACAGGCCACCAGCTATTCTGTGAATAGAGACTGAGCTTCATGGTATAGAAAAAAGAGATTGTAAACTGGATCCTTTCACATTTTATAGTTACTTATTTTAACAGTGGAGGAGTGGCTGGCTGAAAAGTTTAAAAAGTTCTTATACCTGAGATCCAGGTTTATTCTTTATATCCCCTTGTGTGGGTTCTGGAGACCCATTTGAGACGGGGAGGAGAGAATCGGACCTAACAAGCATGTTGTACAAGGTAACTAATTATGAGTGTTTCCTCTGAAGTCAAAAGGGACCAACAGTCTGCATACAAATAAGCCAGATCTGTAAAACTGATTTGTACACCAAGTTCGAATTCTGGAACAGGACCACAGTCCAAAAGTGGATGAACAGTCAGTACTTTCTGCCAGAGTTTAAAGACAGCGAACACTAAAAAGAAGAAGAAAAAAACATTTTATGAAATGTTGAGGAATGTAAGATGAAAACGGTAGCGATTTCACAAACAAGTGTTGTGTATTAACTTTTTGCTTTGTGACTTTGTGCCTGTATAGGCCAAATTTCGTATGAATCTTTACAGGCTAATGAGGCATATATTTCACCCATATTTTGTATGGCCAGATACACAATGAATGATAGTCTATATTGGGTAAATTGGCTTTACTTGCCAAGATGTCTTTGTGCCCACTTCAGGCGGCTGAATTTGACCTTGAATTTGATAGTGCATTAACTTTAACAGCTATGACCCCAGAACTCATAAAGGGGCGGGCAAGGAGTTATTGGTATTGTATGCAGAATTAAATTCCCTTAACAACATACAACCACTTTTTTTTCATGTTTGCTTTTAAGAATTTTGTTGTTTAGTTAGTTTAAACATTGCTATGAATCAATTGAGAATGGACATCATTACACTCAGGACATTCCCACATGTGCTCTGTCCCCTTCTTCAGTAGCCAGCGAAGAGTCAACATGCTAATAGTACCATTTGCAACCTGATTAAAAGTCAGTGTCCTTGCACATTGGGCATTCCCATGCATGCTGAGTACTCTGATGCAACCAGCCACTCCAGCGTGCCTCTGCTGATTGTTTCCATAAAGAGTTGGTTGCAGAATCTCCTTTCTTTACCTCAAAGACGGTATAGACGAGCTTTACCAAGCTTAACTCCTCAGTCATGCAATTGTGTTAGCATCAGAGATTCAACGTTATCCCCCAGTCTAGTCAGTACAGCGTTGATGATATCAGCTCTGTCCATGCTTCTTCGCATTTGCATTGGTGCATTACTTGCCAGCTGGTCAGCTCTTTCATTACTATTTACTCCTGCATGCCCAGGTGTGTAGACCCAGTGGAGGAGGTTAACTGCGACTTCCAAATGCTTTCGACCCTTTCAGAGCATGGACTACTTGGTCATTAAGTGGAAACTGATATCTTTCAACAGTTTGTTTATTCAAAGAGGTTTTAATATTTGCACACAAAACACACACCAAATGCAATCCGTGTAAGCATGATTATTGTAGACAGGCATCTATTTACATTCTAGGCATCAGTTCCGTTAACTCTTTGATTCTAGCATGTAGTTATATTTCTTTGTTTGCTATTTTTATTTATTTAATTTTTATGGTCAAAAGTGCAGATGGTCGTAAGTCACAAGTCAAGGAAAATGTGTAATCTGCATAATTTCTTCAATATCATGCATAGAATCCACTCCAGCATCATTGGCCTCTCTCGTCAACATTCATTATAGGGTTTAGTTTAGATGTCCTTCCTTCCTCAACCCACTTGTTTCCCATTTAAGCACCTGTTGTTTATTAAATGGTTTTGAATAAGCTAAAAATCAAGGACTTTTTTCTGGTAATGTGCTCGGCAAACTGGACATGTGTTCTTTATGTCCTGCATGGCTATATCCTCTAAAGTCGCAAGACACGTACTGTGGAAAACATGAGTGCATGACAGTAACACGGTACTTCGAAGACATGTCTTCTGCTCCTTGTCATCTGACTTCGATGTTGCAGAATTACTACTATTACAAATTGTCCCATCAGTTACTCGCATTTGCTGATCCTCAAAGCCAGGATTTATTCCCTTTTGAGGTGAAATGGTACAGTGACCCGTTGTTTGATTGGTTAATTGTTCAGTTGGTTTACAATTGTCTGGTTTCCTTTGAGAAGGGTTTTGAGTTCTTTTTATGCAAGTAGGCAAATCTGGAGTTGCTAGTTTGCCATTGCAGCAGCTAGTCGGCAACCAGAGCTCAGTAAGGCAGATAGGACATTCTGTTTCCCCTCTTTCAACAGCCTGTTTTGAGAAAAAAGATGTGCATTAATATATAACATTCTAAAAGTAGTACGTTCATTAAAAAAATACAGAAGAAAAATGTAACAAGAATATGCAACATTCTACAAATTATAAATTTAAGTAGTCAAAATCCCCAAGGGGTTCGAAGGGTCTCATTTTGGGCAAAAGGATTAACCTATGCTTCCCTAAAAATTTACTTTACTAATTTAGTCGATCCTCTTCTGCTTTGGGGTGTAGAGGTTTGCCAGAGAGATCGCCAGATTAGCTTTGTTCCATTTTAGTCCTCTGTCAGCCAGGGACTGTTGTCTTCCCACTGAACCTTGGGTCACCCTGGTGGGTTGGTTCTTGGTCTCCTGTGCCTGCTATGGTGTCCGACTCTCTCTCCCATTATACATTCATGTCCAGAACATTGTAACTGTGACTGATCCACTTGAGTTTGTGAGGCCTGAGTTTAAAGATCCTGACATATTGTCTAACTGCAAACCTTTCCCTGACAAGCATGTGGTACAAGGTAACTTAGTCAGGAGTTTCTAAAACTGTTTGTGTTGGACCAAAAGGCAAAGATATTGCAGCACAGCTGTAAACCAGAGCACAACATACCAGCTGCTCTGTTAACAGTGAACAAAGCAGCAGAAGAAGAAGAAAGTGGTCAAGAAGGAAAGATAGCATCAATATACTTTTTCTAAACATTGGAACTATAAGTGATTATAAACGAAAAATATAACATCAATGAGCATTGTTCTAAATGTTATTTTAAAAACTGCTTCTAATAGATCAAACAAGGAGAAAATCACTATAACAAACTACTTCTCATCGACCCCACAAGGAGAAAGTAAGTCTAAAAAACTACTTCCCATAGATCCCATAAGGGGAAAGTAACTATAATAATCCACTTCCCTTAGATACCACAAAGAGAAAGTACCTATGATAAACTACTTCCTATAGATCCCATAAGGAGAAAGTAACTATAATAATCCACTTCCCTTAGATACCACAAGAAGAAAGTAACTAATAATCCACTTCCCTTAAATACGACAAGGAGAAAGTAACTATAATAAACTACTTCCCACAGATCCCACAAGGAGAAAGTAACTATAATAATCCACTTCCCTTAGATACCACAAGGAGAAAGTAACTATAATAAACCACTTCCCATAGATCCCACAAGGAGAAAGTACCTATAATAATCCACTTCCCTTAGATTCAACAAAGAGAAAGTACCTAAAATAAACAACTTCCCATAGATCTCACAAGGAGAAAGTATCTATAATAATCCACTTCCCTTAGATACCACAAAGAGAAAGTACCTAAAATAAACAACTTCCCATAGATCTTACAAGGAGAAAGTAACTATAATAAACTACTTCCCATAGATCCCACAAGGAGAAAGTAACTATAATCCACTTCCCTTGGATAGCACAAGGAGAAAGTAACTATAACCACTTCCCAAAGATCGCACAAGAAGAAAGTAACTAAAAAACTACTTGCCATAGATCTGCACGAAGAAAGTAAACATAAATAATAAACTACTTCCTAAAGATCACACAAGGAGAAAATAACTATAATAATCTACTTCCCATTGATCCCACAAGGAGAAAATCCCCGTAATAAACTACAGTGGTACTCCAATATTTGTCTTTATTAGAGTTTGTCCTTTTCTTTTTTTCTCTCCGAAATTTTTGTTTGAAATTCACAACAACAACAAAAATGTATATTCATCCCTCCTTTGACATGGCCGGCGAGTCAACAGACAATGAAAAAGAAGATGATTGGCCAGTCCCATGTGCTGAAATTAGCGAATGGCTGTCCACCATGCAGGTTTTCACTGAGGAATAGGAATATCACTCAAGTATTGCTATAGATAATTACTGTATCATTTGATGACAATGTGCTTGGACACTTCTGGGAAATTAAAAACAAGATTAGATAACTTATATTTTAAAAAAAAAACAGTGCTGGTGAATGATCTAGAAATGCTGATGACTTTTCAAGACATAAATCACCAGAAGTGGCATAATCTGGTGTCATGGAAGGCAACTGCCCTTCCAAACAATAACCAATATTTTCATGCATAAAGTAAATTTCTTTTCAAAATTGTATTTGTGTAGGCCTACAGTATAATTAAATCTTCAGGACAGGTTATTGTGTAATTAAAATGTATTCACAATGATTTCAAATCACAATCAAAAATGAAGAAAAAGAAAATGTCACAGATTTAGAATACTTTGGCTCTTTATTGAACATCAGTGGTGACTGCTGGAAAGAAGTCAGAAGAAGACTTGCATTAGCAAGGCAGAGATTAAACAGCAAGAAGATACTATGGCAAAGCACCTGTAAATTAGTTTAAGTGAAAATCTTGAGATCATGCATTTTTTCCTGTGGCAACTAACAGTTGTGAGTCCTGGACTCTCACTCAGTCACTGAATAAAAAGATTGAAGCCTTTGTAGAAAAATTCTCAGAATTCCATGGATCAAGAAGAGGAAAAACACTGATATTCCACACGAGTTAAACATCCAGAAGAACTGGCTCATAAACAGCATCCTATCCAAAAAGTTGAAGTATTTTGGCCATATCATCCTTTTTAATATTCATCCTCCCCACAAGAACAGATTAATGACAAAAATTGGAGTTGCACTGTGCTTATCTTAGATCACACAAGAATTCCAGAGAAATTAGACTAAAAAGCTCAACAAAATGGGGAAGCAGAAAAACGTGCACAAAACAACACAACGTAACGTTTCGACCGGGCGGCCTTTTTTCAAACATAAGTGAACTACACAAACTTAACAACGAGGGGAGAAGAGTATGTAGATCTCTGAGGGGTGACGTGAGCAACGTTTAAAAAAATGTGATGTGGAATAAATGAAATAAAATAAAATAAACGATTGCTAAAAAATATAGTCACAAAAAAAAATAGTAGTATTGTTAATATATAATATAATACTGGGAATAAAAGAAATACAAATGTTAATGATACATAAATGATACTGATAAGAAATAGAATAAAGTAATAATATAAAAGAAAAGAAAAGAAAATAATTAAAATTTAAATGTGGTAAGAGTAGAACTTTTTAAATGAAGGTATGTTGGATATTGATACCACCTGGACTAAGAATGCCTAATACTGTGACAGATATATCATCTTTACCTCTGTGGTCAGAGCTATTAAAATGTTTGTGTAGTTCACTTATGTTTCAAAAAGGCTGCCTTGCCTAAATGTTACGTTGTGTTGTTTGTGCCCGTTTTTCTGCTTCCCCATTTTGTTGAGCTTTTTAGTATAATTTCTCCGGAATTCCTGTGCATTAGCTTGACTGCAGTCACCCCCGTATTTTCACCAGTTTTAGATCACACAAGAAGAAAATCTGCACAGTAAACTATTTCAATGCCCACACAACAAACACACCCACCTTGAGCTGAATAGAATACCACTGATCTATTGAAATACTTGTATGTACAGCATCCCACTGATTGAATATCTCTCGGCTTCGCTGGACACTGCTGTCGATTTCTTGTATAAATTCTGTTATGTTCACATCAAGGGATTTCACCATTCGATCAACAATGGCTGACAACTGAGTACAGAAAAGGAAACATTCACTTTTTATCATCTCTTGTGATAGTATAATAAATATCATCATCATCATTTTTTTTTCTTTTTCTATTGTCTCACTGATACCAGGTTGTAGCCCAGTGACGTGGTTTTCTGTATTTGTCTTGAGCTACTTGGGTGATGGATTTGTTCATCTTTTTTTACAGGTTTCTGCTAAACCATTTATCTATCCCATCTCTTTCTTGGTCTTCCTCTCGTTCCTCCCAGAGGCTCTGTTGTATTCAGTATTTCTTGTGTAGTAGTAGAAATCAGTAACACCACTGCCAGCTTGCTAGGCCCGTTGCCTGGCAGGGCAGGAAAAAAAATCTGACATGGTTGGTACCTGTCTCCTTCCAGGCGAGCCAATACTCCACTAGCCTGAAACCTCACGGCTTCAGTTTTCTCGCGTGCACCACGAGGAGCTGGAGTTGACCTGAGTGCTCTACAGGTCGTTGGCAGGCTACTTAAATTTTGCATCCTCATAATCCTGAATTCCATTATACATAACTAGGGCTCACAGTCTAGCTCTACATCCGGTTTTACCCTTTCAGTATTTCAGTATCATGGATAGACTCCAGTCTTGCACCCTTGGCCTCCCTCAGACACATTCTTTTTAGGGTTTCTCTTGGACATCTCCATTTCTTCAATCCATCAGTGTTAGTAAATATGGCTTGTGCATTTACTCTCATTTCTTTATTGACCTGCATATAATTTCCTATATAGGTCTAGCCCTATATGCCCAACATATCTAAAGACATAGAAAAGGGTACTTCATTAATGTTACTTTACAGTGTTTCCTCCATTTTTAATTTGTTTTTGTAATCCTTTATTGTTTCTTCTATTTTTATTTTGTTATTTTAACCCTTTGCAATTGCAGCCAAAAAGATTGACCCCCAATGAATCAAAGGTGTGTGTGTGTGTGTGTGTATGTATGTATGTATATATATATATTTCCACTGCCACAGAAAGGGAGCAGTTATACAGCCACCCATCTGTTGTGACCCTGGAACTTGGAAATAACTAACTAGAACAGAACAAATTTTCCAGTTCTGTTTTCCTTTACACACGGTTATTTACAACCTTACTGCTGTTAACTGCACACCACATTAAAAAAAAAAATTTCACATAAGAAACTTTCAGTTACTTAAGGGACTTCCGTTTTCAAAATTGCCAGAAGTGGCTGTGTTATTTTACGATGGCTTTGAATTCTCTTGGATTGTTCTGTTCCCTTATCATGGTCTGCTATTCTGTGTGCATTTCAAATGCCGGATACTATGTGTGTTTTCCACGGCAGTAGTTTCAATTTTAAATGTGCTATGTCTGGGTTTGATAATGACCGATAGATTTGGAAGCCTAGACCACGCTGCCTTTACAATGTTTTGATCACGGTGGACCACTAATTAGAAAGACACAACCTTATTCCCTTTTTTCACGCCTTAGGCACATCGGGCATATGGGAAGAGCGTCCCAAATTTTTACAGACCAATCGGCACTGGGTGGGTAATGTGGTCAGCGTTACGCCGGCCGTCTTTACTTCCCCAGGACAGCCCATCCTGGTACCCATTTTAAGCTAGGTCGACCTGGGATGCCCCATACCATGATAAAAATCCATGCAGCCAGCAGTGGGTTTTGATCGCTGTACGTTGGAATTACGAGTCTGACTCGCAACACCTAAGCCACGTACGCCGCACAATCTTATTCGGGGGACCGCACACTGTCTAGACAGCAAACTTGATAAAAGCTGTCCCCAGAAATGTGTCAAAACTTTTGTGTGAGTATGTGGGAAGGACTTGACACATACGGTTAACTCAAAAGCCATGAGTTTGGTGAAACATAAGATACCTTGAGATGACCTAATGGTCAACAGTATATTAAGTGCATTACCAGAGATCGCTGAAGAAGAAGAAGTTACCAAAGGTTACCTTTTCCTCATAAAACTTCTTTCTCAACTTAGGATCTTTAGGTGCAACAGTCTCCCTTAGTTGTCTGTACCAGCATCTCACAACATAACCCCTCCACAACGACTGAATCCTGAAATATAACATTTAAGCTAAAGAACAAGTTTTTCATTTTTTTTATCCAGCCCAAAATTTGTAGCAGTAAATTACATGGGAAGTAAAGACGGGCATTGTGTTATAAACCAAATCACCCATTTGGTGCCGTCTGGTCTATACAAATGTGGAATATGTACCTAATCTGCCCCAGTGTAAAAAAATTTTGATCTTTCATTTTTACCAATACTATTTTATATCTTCACTAGCTGTTGACTCCAGCAGAAAGTTCTGCTTTCTTCTGGTATGTGTCCATTCGCAGACTGCTTTTGTTCCAGAACTTGAGTTTTTGTATGCACATCTGTTTTACAGATCTGATTCACTTGTATGCAGACTGTTGGTTTCTCACCCCTCAGGTAGAGATGCACTCTAATTTGAAGGAAAAACCTTGAATTATTTGCCTCCTAGATATGATTCATAGGTTCATGTGGGTGGGGGGTGGGGCACAGTGGGGCCCCAGAATCTACATAGGGAATACTTTATGAATGCTAGTCTCTTGCCTGTCAGCCTGATAGTCTAGAGTTCAAATCCGCATCATGGCAGATAATCTTTTTCAATATGGACTTTGGCTACAAGGTTGACCCAGCAAACAATGATACCAAGTAATGTCTTGGGAAGTAAAGGCAGCTGGTGTGATGTTGATGACAACACCCACCGAGTGCCGACTGGTCTATAAAAATATGAATCTGGCATCATATGCCTGCCCCTGTAGTGAAAAGGGTCTTAGGAATCGACCAGCTGGGGCATTCTTCAAAGTTGGAGTGCATCTATCCAAGCGGCATGGAGTAACCAACTGCACACAAATAAGATGGTAAAACAGATATACACGTAAAACTCAGGCCCTGGCATAAAGTCAAATAGGCGAACAACCAGCACTTTCAGCTGGAGCTTACAGACGGGGAATAAAGAAGAATAGGAAGAAATGGAAAATAAATGGACTGAAGAAATGAGGTCATCTAAGTGAAACTCTAAGATGAATGTTGTTTGAAGCCAAGTGCTGGATTCCATTCATGATATCAAAAGGCTTGCTAAAAGATGGAATGAAATGGAGGAATAGACTGCTAGCCAAATGTGACATAATGGAATGAGAAGATGATACCTGGTTGCACACTTGTGTTTATAAACATGTGCCCCTTCGTGAATGACCCTTGTCTGATACTCTTGGTGCCGACACATTGGGCAGGTTTTTCTGCCAGTGAATCTTTCTAAAGACTGCAGACATGCCTGGAGCAAAAAAAAATAATATATATATATATATATATATATATATATATATATATATATATATATATATATATATATATATATATATATATATATATATATATATATATATATATATATATATATATATATATATATATATATATATAAATGTTTACGTATTTTTATATAAACACTGAGGTATTGGAAAGAGCAGATATATTACAACAGTTTTCTCAATTCTTAGTCTACAAAGGCTCAGGTGGCTAGGTCACACGTAGAGAATGAAGGATGGAAGAGTCCCTGAAGTCATCCTTTTTGGTGAATTAAAGACGGGTAGAAGATGTCGTCAAGTTCTTGAGGTTCTTCTTCTTCTCAAAGTCCATGCCATCTGACATTGGTAGTCATGTCTATCCACAATCTTCTGTCTCAGAGACTTTAAATCAATTCTGAAACAGATGATTCTCCATGCCATGATGTCAAACTGTACAGCATCTTTGCTCTCTGTCTCCCTCTGCCTCTCCTGCCCTACAACTTTCCTACTGTCATGATGTGCTCCAGTTTTCTCCTTCTCATTACATGACCAAAGAATGTAGATTGTCTTTTTCTGATGCGGGCAATCAGTTCTCTTCGTGATCAGTTTCTTTCAAGACATCCTCATTACTCTTTTCATCTGTCCAGGGTTCTCTTATCATTCGTCTATAAAACCACATCTCTGCAGCTTCCAAATAAGTTTTCACTAATCTACCAACTGTCCAATACTTGAGGTCCATTGCTGCAATATCACCTGCCTCCATTCATCTCTGTGACTTGCCTTCTGTGTCCAGTTGGTGACTTCAATTGTTTTTAGGTCCACCTGAATATGATCTCTCCACAATAATTTGGGATAGGTATTGAGTTTTAATTATCCAGGAACTTGCATGACATCAGAGGGAAGATTTCTCCAGGCCATGCCGACATAGTGGGTAATGAACAGGCAGACAGATTGGCTGGATCTGCACCACTAGGTGGTGAATAGATACATGACAAGGCAGATGTGGTCAAGGCCCTTTGGGAACAAGCAACAGAATCAATAGAGAAACACAATTATTATGACCTGGAGAGAATGGAGCACCTGGGTGTAATCAGAAGGTCTGGCCGGCTCACTACACTCAGAGGAAAGGCAAGACGCACATATAACCAGATTGTGACCGGTACCATCAAAATAAGAACTCTGCGCTGGCTACTGAAGATGAGGACGGAGCATGCAGGGGAATGCCCCGAGTGCTGTGATGTCAATTCTTGATTCAACTCAACTCACAGGGAAGATGCATTACAGAAGATTTTTCTTCTTCTTCTTCTTCTTCGCCTTTACCAGCTGTAAACTCCGGCGGAAAGTTCTGGTTGTTCATCCACTTCTGGACTGCAATCCTGTTCCAGAACTGATTTCAGAGCACAGTTAACTAAAGTCCCCATAAACATAACAGAGATAATGAAAAATTCATCCAAACAGTTTTACTCATCACATTAAAGAGAACTGGGCATTGAATGTGCTCAGTTTTTTTTTTTTTTTTTTTTTTTTAAGTATTCAAAGGGTAGGTTCCTGACAAGGGTGCCGTGGCGAAGAAAGTTTGAGAACCACTGCTCTACAGGATGTTGCAGAACCAGCCCTAGCATATTTTTGCCTGTTTGTGATTTCACTAAGCAATTTTACGTTCAGCAGTACCGATGGTCAGTATCGGTAGCCAGTACTGATGGCCAGTACTGTGTTGGTCAGTACCGATGGCCAGTACCAATGGTCAGTACCAATGGCCAGTACTGATGGGCAGTACCAATGGTCAGTACTTATGATCAGTACTGTTGGTCAGTACCAATGGTCACTACTGATGACCAGTACTGATGATCAGTACCAATGGTCAGTACTGATGGTCAGTACCAATGGTCAGTATTGGTAGCCAGTACTGATGGCCAGTACCATTGGTCAGTACCAATGGCCAGTACTATTGGTCTGTACCGATGGTCAGTAATGATGGTCAGTACCAATGGTCACCACCAATAGTAAATACCAATGGCCAGTACTGTTGGTCAGTACTGATGGTCAGTACTTATGGTCAGTACTGTTGGTCAGTACTTATGGTCAGTACTGTTGGTCAGTACCAATGGTCACTACCAATGATCAGTACTGATGATCAGTACCAATGGTCAGTACCAATGGTCAGTACCAATGACCAGTACCGATGGTCAGTACAAATAGTCAGTACTGATGGTCAGTACTGATGATGAGTACCGATGGTCAGTACCAATGATCAGTACTGATGGTCAGTACCAATGGTCAGTACCGATGGTCAGTACCAATCGTCAGTACCGATTATTATCTTTGACTTTTCACATACATTTTCAGACCAAACTGTTTTGACCATGTATCAAGTGTGTTAAATTGTCTTGCAGTTGATTTTGTGTTTGGGTTTGAGGAGAAACGAAGCTTACACGGTACGGGTATTTGCCGTCGAAGTGGGAGCGAGAGGCCTCGTTTCCACTTCGCTCTACAATGTGGTAAAAGAACTAGGATTGCGCGGTAATGAACGGAAACGAACACTTAAAAAACTGGGAGAGGTTGCCGAAAGGGCCTCTAGCTGGCTGTGGACACAGCGCAACAACGTAGGGGACGGGCCTCGGTGAGCTGGTCCGGGTGTCTAGCGGAAAGGAGTTTCTCATCCCTTTGAAAGTCCATCGTGTACGAATTGTCTGCCAGTGTCCCTCTGCCAACTGCTAATAAAAGTCCAACATGTGTCTGGTAAACCAAAGTAAGCTTGTCGCTCGGTCGTCCAGGCATGCGGACTGTTCTAATTACGCTGCCGTGGCGGCTTCTTATCTCACAGTACCTCCTTCGAAACCACTAAGTCGTCTTGTCTCTGGCCGAAATAATAACACCATCCGGTAATTCTGTGCAGCGGGGAAGCAGCCCTGAGCTTCATGAACTCAGGTGGGCCCACCTCCGAATACGTTTAGGAATCGTGGGCCGAAACGTGTGTCGAAAGAGGATAATTTCTACTGATGACTGTAGATCCCCGCTGTACTTGCTCCCTGTGAGTTTATTCTTATTGTGTATGGGACAGGATTCAATGCCATCTGAAAATTCTACCACTACTACTTTTACTGCTGCTGCTACTATAACTACAACTACTTCTACGGTAATTATTGCAACTACTACTAGTACTCATACAACTATTGTACTGCTAAAAAGACTTCTACTACTGCAGCTGGTACAGCTATTTCTAACAGTACAACTACTACTTGTACTGCTAGAACTACTACTTGTACTGCTAGAACTACTACTACTACTACTGCTACTGCTACTACTGCTGCTTCTGCTACTACTAATACTGCAACTAATATTACAAATAGTAACAGAACAGCACTACACACACACACACATACCCTATGGAACACATGTGTGCAGGACAACAGAACCTGCTCATGGACACCAAAGTCTTCTTTGCAGATCACACAAGGCTCCTTAGAATCATCTCGCTGGTTTGACCTGGCCTTGACATGTGCCCAATCTTGCTCCGACAATAACGGCTGTGGTGCATAGACTAAGCCATACTTTTGTGCTGGCAGAAAGCAACAGATTAATAGTGGCATATTCACACCAGATCTATGCTACAAGACCCAAACTTTCAATTCAGTGAACTGTCATTAAAAAACTTAACAAAATGGGGAAGCAGAACATTTTGGTAAGCATTTTAATTCATTGTTCACTTGATTAATTTCTTGGTAGCTTCACTACAGTCACCCCTATTTTCACCACCTTTATAGATCCAAACACTAACATTTTCAAAAAACTCACATACGTAAAATAACAGTTGTATACTGTCTGAACAAAGCAGACTCAAATATCAGACAATTCATTGTCTGGCATATTACACTGTGTCTCATCAAGTGCATATAACAGTAATAACTGCCATTCTTGCCTGCATTTGACACTTTTGCAATTTAGGCAGAGAGGTCTTTGAGCCTCAGGATTTAAGGCTGCATAGCTAGTGCTGCCTTTCAACGTCGTCTAGTTTGAGAGTGGAGGTGGAGGCAGTCACTGCTGCCTTCTGCTGGCTTGAGAATCAGCTGTACACGCATGTCGTAATTGTAGTTAACTCACAGAGTATGCTGAAAAAGGTGGAGACAGGTGTGCTAGTGTGTTGGAAGATAAACAGGGAGATAGACTGGCCGGTGCTGTACCATTAGGTGGTGAATTGTTGCACACATGTATAATGAGCTAGATGTTGTGAGGGCCCTTTGGGAGGATGTGAACAATGCGGAGGCACACATGAATCATGGTCTGAGGAGAATGGTGCTGCGAGGTGTTACCAGGAGATCTAGTCGATGCTCAACACTCAAGGGAAAGGCGAGATGGATGTACAATTAGACAGTGACTGGTACCATCAGAATAGCAACTTATCGCTTGCTACTGAAGATGGGGACAAAGCGCTTACGGGAGTGTCCCAAGTGCTATGATGCTGATTCTTAATTCTACATTCAACATTCAGTCTAGTGCTGTTGCTACATTCTGTGTAGGTTAGGATTGTTATTTTTGCCCCGACAGAAAAAATACCCAATCTTTCTGAGTATTCAAACCCTTGTCTCCCAAATTACAGTAATAATTGATTAAAATGGAGCAGTTTATTCCTCCATGTCAGTCTATCCTGTACAATCCTTTTTACATCATGGATGCAATCCTCTTCTTCTTCTTCTTCCTCTTCTTCTTCTTCTTCTTCATTCACCGACTGTAAGCTCGGGCAGAAAGTCCAGGTTGTTAATCCATCTGGACAATGGTTTTGGGCTAAAACCTAAGTTTTGTGTGCACATTTGTTTTACTGGCTTATTTGTGTGGGGTTGGTTGTTCCTTTCCGCTCTGGCAGATTCACTCTGACGTCGAAGGAAGCTCCCAAATTAGTTGACTCCTACGATATGCTTGTTGGGGAAGCTGGGGGTCTATTCTTGTTTTCCCCACAATGGGGTCATGGAACCCACAATAGGGTCATGGAACCCACAATAGGGTCATGGAACCCACAATAGGGTCATGGAACCCACAATAGGGTCATGGAATCCATACTGGGAGCACGGAATCCAATCCAGTACATTTAGTCTCTATCAAAGTTTTCTTAGGGTTTCTGTTCAGCATGTTATATTTTCTTCAATTCATTTTTTTCTCTTTGCAGTGCTTGTATTGTGACACTTTGTCCACTTTTTTTCTTCAATTCATTTTTTCTCTCTCACTGCAGTGCTTGTGTTGTGACATTTTGTCCACTTCTTTTCATGACTGGCCCAAGTATACTGCTTCTTCTTCTTCTTCTTCTTCTTTTGTTGTCTCACTGATACCAAGTTGTAGCCCAGTGTCATAGTTTTGTCATCTCACTGATATCAGGTTGTAGCCCAGTGTCATAGTTTTGTCGTCTCACTGATATCAGGTTGTAGCCCAGTGTCATAGTTTTGTCGTCTCACTGATATCAGGTTGTAGCCCAGTGTCGTAGTTTTGTCGTCTCACTGATATCAGGTTGTAGCCCAGTGTCATAGTTTTTTCGTCTCACTGATACCATGGTGGAGCCCAGTGTCATAGTTTTGTCGTCTCACTGATATCAGGTTGTAGCCCAGTGTGGTGGTTTTGTCGTCTCACTGATATCAGGTTGTAGCCCAGTGTCGTAGTTTTGTCATCTCACTGATATCAGGTTGTAGCCCAGTGTCGTAGTTTTGTCATCTCACTGATATCAGGTTTTAGCCCAGTGTTGTGGTCCTCTGTATTTGTTTTGGTCTCCTCGGTTGGCTTAGATACATAATTTGTTTATCTGTTTGCAGGTTTCATCACACCATTTATCCATCTCTTTTTTGGTCTTCCTCTCATTTTCCTCCCAGATGGTCTGCTGTAAAAAGTCTCATATGCAGTTTGGTCTGGCTGCATTCTCCCTAGATGGCTGAACCATTTCATTCTTTGTCTGTGAATATAATCCAGACAAGATCTTATTCAAAGTTTCTCTCTAATGCTGGTATTCGTAACTCTGTCTCTTCTTGTGTTGTTAGTGACCTTGCGGAGACAGCGCATTTCACATGCAGTTATTTTCTGTTCTAGTGCCTTATTCATTGTCTATGTTTGGCACTGATCCAGGATATTGCAATCTGCTTCATTTTAAAACTGTTCATCCATGCGGTTGTCCAGTCATTTCTCTTATTTTGTTACCCTTCCACTGTGGTCACAGCATTAAATTTCATTTTACCACTAGCAGATGAAAGGATTTTTTCAAAACAATCGATTGTGGCATTGTCCTGCTTCCCCATTTGGTTAAGCCCTTTAATCACAGTTCACTGGATTAACAAAAATAATACATGAAAGAAAGTCAAATCATTTGTTTACATACCCAAAGTCATTGGTGGTGGTTTTGGGTCCAGAACATACTCCTCTTCCTCCTGCTTCTTATTCTGAGATTTGTCTGCTTTCATGTGCCCTTTAAACAGAACCAAAAAAATTATTTTAAAAAATTAATACATATTTTAAACATATCTGGCTCATCATTAACATGTCTTTGCCAGGCTGAATTGACATTTAAAAAAAACATAGATAAAATAATATATAATAAATAGCATGTAGGTGTTGAATACATAATTGTTAATAGACCCACACAAATAGCAAAAGAGGTGATAGGTTGGCTGGATCCGCTATCACTACCGACTGTCAGCTTATGGATCATGCTGATATTAATAATGCCCTCAGAGAAATGGGAAGGATAGAGGACTTTGAGGGCAGTGAATCCACATCACTCGCCAGAATGGCAGACTTGGGATAAACATAGAACTGGTACTATTAGCCATCGGACGTTGGGGTTCATACTGAGGGGAGGATCTGAGCACCTATGGACATGTCTGGAATGCAATGAGGATAACCCAACTAACTAACTAACTAAGATAGCAAAAATATAACAAACAGATTAAAAAAATGGATAATAGACAGATAACGGATATCATGTCAGGAGAAGTAGAAAACTGGAGTTCACTGTGACAGTGGGAAAGTGAGAGAAGGAAAGAGGCAGGAGGAGACCACGAGAAAAGATGCTGGACAGTTTGACATCATGGCATGGAAGTTCCTTTGTGTCCGAAATAATTGCAAGTACATAAGACAGAAGGTTGTAGATAGACATGACTACCAACGCCACACGGCATGGGCTATAGAAGAATTTAAAAAAAAGAATTGATGGATAATAGATACATAATAGATACATAATACATATATAATCGATACAAATACAAAAGATTAAATCAAAATTATGCCTGCAATAAACTCAGCTATATAGTGGGTTGCATAGTCTCGAGGCATGGCGTCCACCTCAAGTGCTGGAAGTCACGGGTTCAAATCCGCGGTGAAGGCTGGGATTTTTTCACGTGGACTTCTAGGAATTTCCCCTGGTCTCTGGGTAGAAAGATTGGATGCCCGTGTGCTTTGCCGCGCACGTAAAAAATCCCTTGGCAGTTGGAAAATGAAAAAGTGTAGCCTAATTGGGCTGCCCTGGCAAAATATGGAGTTCAAAATCTACCCAAAGTATTCAGGATCCTCGCCGGTGCTACGGAGTTTGTGCACTGTGCTGAGATTTTTCGGACAGGCCTGAGTCAGAAGTAGAACGGAGCACTTATAGGTTACTACCCTTGTGCCATTATGTTGATCCGTTGTCTAAACCTAAACTCTGCTATATACCTTTGTGTCTGCCAGTGTCGATTAAAGATTTCACTTCCCGATGTTGCTTGGCCCTGGCAGCTGGACCCAGACCAACCTTTTTTGGGCCGAAGACTGGACCCAGTGAAAGTGATCGGGACCAATGGTCTTGTAAGGCAACTGCTGTTAGGATTACACTTGATGATCCAGTCACCTGTTACAATTTAAAAAAAAAAAGGGTACATTATCACAGATCAATACATTAAATAGTCGTATAGTTCAGTGTTTCCAAAACTTTTCTTAGTCGCAGCGCTTTTTTTTCAATTAAAATTTTTCCATGGCACCCTAACCCAAGTAAAAGTATGACTATTTGTTTCTAAGAGATAAAAAACAAATAAAACTGTTCAAATATATCGTAGCGCCCCTGTGAAGAGGTCGTGGCTTCCCGGGGCGCACAGTTTGGGAATCACTGATATAGTTAGTAGAAATAACCTTTGCATGATGTTGCAAAACCAACTCCTGCATTTTTGGGGCTATTAGTGATATTACAAGGTAATTTTATCTTCAGTAGTTTGCAACTGGTTTCTAAATGGTTAGTGCTCTATGCCCGAGTCAAAATTAATGCAAAGTAGACTGCTGCCAAATCGCCTGCAGCTAAAACTGAAATGGGTATTTCAGAATTACAAAGTGTGTTCACAATGCCTAAATCACAGATGCGAAATAAAAAGTGTTATAATACATGTTACATTTGTTGACCATCTGGTAAGAATGCTCTGTTACCATCTACCATAGAGAGTCAATTGCTAAAAGAGATGAACAAAACCATGTAACAAATAAATTAATGGTAGCCAAAACATACAGATGTGAGTCATGGACTATCTCACAGTTATTAAGTGAGAAAACAGGGTCTTCTGAACTGAAATGATATTGAAATATTCTCAGATTACCATCGACCAAAAAGAACAATAATACTGACATCCTGAAAAAATCTGAACATCAACAAAGATTGCATAGTAAACAGAATCTTGTATTGGAAAATGAAATATTTTGGATATTATAAAGTGCCACAGCAGATTGGTTGACCAGCATAAAACTGGACAGGATGTGATGAGAGAGTGTTCTGAAAAATGACCTGCTACAGGATGATGATGGTATCAAGAAATAAAGACCAACTTGCAAAGTGCATTGGAAAGAGTATACTGCAGATTTCTGAACATTTCTTTTACACATACATAACCGAACCCTCGACCCGTTAGTGTCGAGTAGGTGTACTGATGGAAGCACTAACACATAAAACCCGCCATATTTTTCAGTCTTCCACTTGATGAATAAGTGTATGATAACTTAGTCCTGTCTATCTCTTGATGTTGTCATTTCAGGTTCTTCTTTGCCTTTCTCTTCTTTGATTTCCCCCCACCCCACCCACCCCCATGTTTCTTGAAGTACATATAGTCTTTGCACTCAAATCATGTCCTATCATGTGCCCAAACCAACCTGGCTTGCAATGTTTCATCACTGCCAAGAGAGGCTCCTGATGTCTTGCAAATTTTTACATTTTGTCTCTGACATGTTTATTAGTTTTGTGTTCTAAATAACTAATTCGTAAAATGGGTCTATTACACTGAAAGCCTGAATCCTCCTTTCTATTTTCACAGTGAGTGACCAACTCTCACATAAAAAAACATAGACAATACCAGTGATTTGTATATAATGACCTTTACTGTGATGCTGATTTTCTCTTCCAGTTCGGACATCGCAGACTGACTGATATTCAATCCCACCAAGACTGCACAACAAGCGATAAACACCCAGTGACACAAGAGGCCACAATGCAGATAAGAATTACCTGGGTATGAGTCCCAGAAATCCTGTTTTAACAGTTTGGATATATTAGGGCCCCCAACTGCAGCCGGTGTGGGGCTTTAAAATAACTAAAAATTACATCCTGTATCAGGGCGAGGTTGGTTATACAAGGCAAGGACAACACTCTTGTAGACAGCAGATAGAAACAGGGAATGTAAATGACCTAAGGAAACCTGGAGAAGGATAGTAAAAAGGGAAACGAAAGAATGTTAAATGACATGGAAAGTCAAGGGCAAAAAAAGCAGAAGGCTGGAAGCAATGCAGACCATTTGGTAAACCATATAACACAATCTGGGTTGCTCCCCCAATTACAGAGTAACCCGAAGTCAACTGTGAAGGGTAGGTGAGGCTGTCACGCATTTATCTTATCTCTTAGCTCACGCTTAAAGCTCATTGGCTATTTTACCACTCTGCAGTTCATCAGGCCGATACAAATTAACATTAAGTTGTCTTATTGGTTGCTATCACACACAGCTCACTTCATGTCTCTCCCATGTCTTTCCCATGTCTTTCCCATGTCTTTCCCATGTCTTTCCCATGTCTTTCCCATGTCTTTCCCATGTCTTTCCCATGTCTTTCCCATGTCTTTCCCATGTCTTTCCCATCTTTTCCCATGTCTTTCCCATGTCTTTCCCATCTTTTCCCATGTCTTTCCCATGTCTTTCCCATGTCTTTCCCATGTCTTTCCCATCTTTTCCCATGTCTTTCCCATGTCTTTCCCATGTCTTTCCCATCTTTTCCCATGTCTTTCCCATGTCTTTCCCATCTTTTCCCATGTCTTTCCCATGTCTTTCCCATGTCTTTCCCATGTCTTTCCCATGTCTTTCCCATCTTTTCCCCCCACGTTATTCTGTTAATTTCCTACTGCCTGGCTTTTATTCCTTTGACCCAGTGAGTGACAACCCAAGGATATTCTAGTTTTATTTTATATTGTTTTCTTCATGCTCTATTGAACACTAGCACCACATCCCCACCTTCTTTTTACTTTACTCGGTAGGATTTGATTAGTATGCCTAAGAATAATAATAATAATAATAATAATAATAATAATAACAACAACAATAATAATAACAATAATAATAAAAAGCCTCCAGTATTGCTTTAATTGTTATGATCATATAAACCATCTATGAAAAAAAAATTTAAGCCTTCCTATTCTTCAGATAAACACTGTCTTCATTCTTGCTTGTATTCCAATTTTTGTTTGCTGGCAAAGATTTTAGCAGATACTGGTAAATATTAATGTGGGGTTTTTTTCGTGGGGGGGGGGGGGGGGGGGGTTTATTTTGCTACTGACATCAACTTGACAACTGTTGCTCATCCTTTATTTCCAAATTTGACTATGAGTCGGTTTTACAGTGACCAGTTGTAAATTTCAGAAATTAATTAATAAATAATAAAAGGAAAGAGCTGCACTGATGCAATATTTACTTTTCGGCAAATTTGTGAACAGACAATCGAATATAATAAACACCAGAATCTTATATTCATTGATCAAGAGAAGGCTTTTGACAGGGTTAACAGAAATAAACTATGGAACATTATTGAAGAATATGGTGTACCGGGTCAATTATTGGGAAACATAATGGCTCTCTATCAAAATAGCCAGAGCGCTGTAAGAACAACGGAAGGTATGACAGACTGGTTCCCCATTACATCAGGAGTATGACAAGGATGTGTCCTATCACCCCTACTCTTCATCACATATATGGATAAAATTGCACAGGAGTCAAACCAAAACACAGATATTATAAATGAACTACTCTTTGCAGATGACCAATGTTTGTTACAAGAAGAAGAACAAAAACTACAACAACATGTTGATTCATTGCTCACTAACTGTACAAAATTTGACATGAAAATAAACACCTCAAAAACTGAAGTAATGACCATAGGAAAGAAACACAGTAATGTAAACATAAAGATCAATGACATACAATTAGAACAAGTTCAAGAATTCAAGTACTTAAATGCATATTTACAGAAGATGGAAGACTCGATAAAGTGTTACAGGCTAGAGTTCAAAAAGCCAATGCAGTCAACTACCAACTGGCCCCACTTCTTCGTCATCCAAAGATCTCGTTGCCAGCCAAACAACAGATGATCAACAGCATTTTCATCCCTACGTTATGTTATCAGTGCCAAACGTGGACAATGAACAAATCACATATGCAAAAAATAACTACGTGTGAAATGCGATGTCTCTGAAGAGTCACCAACAATACACGAAGAGACAGAGTCACAAACGTCAGCATTAGAGACAAAGTTGGAACAAGAGCATGCATGGAACATATTGAAAGACAGAGAATGAAGTGGTTTGGCCATTTAGTAAGAATGCAACCGGATCAGATTGCCTATAAGGCCTTTTACAGTAGAACATCGGGAAGAAAGGCCAGAGGAAGACACAGGAAAAAATGGATAGATGGGTAGCTGAATACGGTCAGAAGATCCAGAAAACTGTCACTCAAATCACGCGAGAGGCACAAAACAACTATTTTAAACCACGACACTGGGCTGCAACCCGGTAAAAGTGAAGAAGACAATAGATAGATAGATAGATAGATAGATAGATAGATAGATAGATAGATAGATAGATAGATAGATAGATAGATAGATAGATAGATAGATAGATAGATAGATAGATAGATAGAAAGATAGATAGATAGATAGACAGAATTAATAAATAATCATAATAATATTATTTTCATAATTTACAAAGTTACTATAGTTACTTTACTGTTACTAACTTGTAATGGACGACCTGTGCATCTCTTCGACATTTCAAATAATGGTAACCGTGACACATACGAACGTCTATGTCTGCAACGTTCTTGTTCATCTATTCTTTGACTTCCTTTATTTGTATTTTGTCAGTCCCAGTTCATGGCGTAAATCATTGTTTTCAATGTATTTGATCTTAAAAAACTAATTAATAGTTCAGCAGCGTCCCCAGCAACGGAAGTAGTTACGACTATACGGTAATTAATCTCCCTCACCAAAGATTGCCAGGGTATAAAGGAGGCTGTCTGTGCCGTTACTCCTCATATTCCAGATTCCAGGGAGTGGGAGGTCAATTCCGTTCACGAGGAGGAATTTGTTCAGAGGAGTAACGGACGACAGAAGATGAGTGCTACCAGGTGGGTGTTAACGTTAACTTTTAACTTGATTAATTCCCTTAAACGTGCCCGGTGATTACACGTATTTTTAGGCTTTTACAATTAGTAATTATACTAATTAAGTATTTGTATAAATTAATAACAATAACAATGTTATGTTATTTTTAAACTGATTATCAATCATTATGATATATAATTACGGTATGAATGAAAAGAGCGATCGTTAATTACTTATTACAGATGTATTTTTATGTCATCATTTGTTGTGTCAGTTTTGCATAGGCTATCAATTATCATGATTTGCCGTATCATAAAGTCGCAAATCACTGGTAGAGATAAACAGTGTTCATGTTGCATTTATGTGTGTTTGTAAAAGTAATAGTAAATTTAACATACCAAAATATACTACTCAACCCTTCTGGGGTGTAAATGGGATATATCGTTCTTTATCTGTATTTTCAGACACTTATTTAAAAAAATAATAATTTATTATCTTATGAGTACAGATATTACACAATTTGTAACAATGTTAAGACAGTTAATGATTCGTTTTCACAACAAAAGCGTTTAGATATTAGTTCAGCTGTCATAACGGATTCTGTATCTTTGCCGTGGCCACGGTAGGGGTAGGGGTGGGGAGGAGGTGACAACATCGCGGCTCTGTCATAAGAAGTGACGAGTTCTCATTCCCGCTTGAACTACCGTTCCACAGCTCACTTTGGAAAAAAAAAAACTCCCCTCACTTTCTCTAGAATTGAAGTCTGTAGGATTAACACTTCAGGAATGAGAATCAAACGTGTACAAATTCTAGAAAACCCAGTTGAAGTTGAACCGTATAACACAGTTTTAGGAACTCCTAGGTTATGAAGCAAACCTGCCTTCTAATGCGGGGGTTGAAAGAAGTGTGCAGGCGTGTATTTCTCGGCTCACGTTCAAGTTTTATGCGGACTTTTCTATGACTCGACAGTTCATCGGGTCGATACGGCGACCTGGTTTTCGCACGGTCGCTACGACCTTGGGATTATACTCCCGTGCCATAATGCCTTCGAATGGATACAATTACCAGACAAAAACAATTTAAAAGATATATTGCCAGTATTTACCACTGATAATGTACATAAGGATCTAATTAAGTCTGCTTGACTGGCGCTGTCGCTTATTACTCTGTTGATTAGGACACCCCCACCTTTTCCCCGGTAGACAAAAATCCATCTCTCACTGTGGATCGAACCCGTGTCCCCCGCCTGAGAAAACCAAGTGAAAGCTGCAACTCTTCCACCCGATGACGACGCCAATAGCATGAAATGCACGGGGGAATTCCATGACTGAGCGGTTTATTGGCCGGGATGAAAAACTGTAACGTAACTCCAGACTGGGTGCAGTTACAACTGGACCAAAGTAGGGAGTATTATAATACCGTCTGTTGAGCAATTCCCGTAGTAATGATTATTGAGGGCAATAACTGGTACCCCCTCCCTTTCAGTCAATTAGGTGCCGTCTCCACTGTAATTGTTGGCTGCATTGGATCTCCAACACGTCCTGTCTTTACACTCTCCCAGACTCGTGTCCGTCCATATTTTGAGATGTTGTCCTCCCATTTGTATCATGGCCCACCTCTTGCTCTCTTTCCTTCGACTTCTGCCTCCAGCATGGTTTTTTAAAGCCAGCTATGTATATGAATGTTGCCAGAGTATTTCTTATGTCTCTTTTTCTTTTTCAGTAATTTTATTTTCATTTCTCTATATTGGACTGTTTTTGATTCCATGAAACATGAAATTTGAACTGTTCTTCTGTATACCCAAATCTCCAAAGACTCAATTCTATTTTCTGGTTACTGGTTCATTGTCCAAGTTTTGACACCATAAAGCAGGACTGAGTGTACACAACATTTGTTGATTCTCCTCCCCTTCCTATCTGTACACTGTGACCTGTATTTGAAGAGAATAATGGATAACAGTAAGGGGTCGACGAGGGAGGAAGGGCACAATTAGAAGAAAGGATCAATCCCAGTCATAAAATTCATAAAATAATAACGGCTCTCCTTGCAGATCCGGACGAGGGTTGGACGCGGGCTGGACGACTTGGTTCAGTTTAGTGGGAGTTCTCTCCCTTGGCCGCACTCGAAACAAGTAGCGGAAAAAGTCCACAAAACAAATGACATACTTACCTATCATCATACGGTTGCGTGTAAGGTTGCGTTTAGGGTTGCGTAGTCATCATACGGTTGCGTAGTCATCATACGGTTGCGTGTAGGGTTGCGTAGTCATCATACGGTTGCCTGAAGGGTGGCGTTGTCATCATACTGTTGCGTGTAGGGCTGCGTAGGGTTTGGGTTAGGGGTAGGTTTAGGGGTTATGGGTAGGGGTAGGGTTAGGGGTTAGATGTGAAAATTTTCACGTAGGAGGTCGAAATAGTGGCCGACAATCTGATGCTTGTGGGAGTGGCGCCACTGAAATTCTGCCAAATATGACGCCAATAGCCGGCGGCTGGTGCCCAATCGGTGGCGAATTGTCAGTGTCAGTAGCATCCACCGTCCGTCGACTGATTGAGTGTGTATGTGACTGTGCGCGATTATAGGGAATTACGGCGTCAAAATTGTCACATCTAAGGCTAAACCTAACCCTAACCCTACCCCTAACCCTTATGGCAACCCTAACGCTACCCTAATCCTAACCCTAATCCTACCCCTACCCTTAACCACGCAAATTTATCGGTCATTAAAGCATACAGATAGGCCAAAAAAAAGAAAAAAACCCAGATATTCCCGCAGTGTCAAAAAAAACCCCAGATCTGGGGGACACACCCAAGCATTGGCAGCCCTGATGTCGACCTCACTGTCTTGTTTGATTCGTGACTTTTTCCGTTACTTGTTTCGAGTGCGGCCAAGGGAGAGAACTCCCACTAAACTGAACTAAGTCGTCCAGCCCGCGTCCAACCCTCGTCCGGATCTGCAAGGAGAGCCAATAATAACTTATCAAAATGTTTACCTACCTGCCAAGAAAGCCCTAGTACCTTATACCATAAAGCCACATGAAGTCTATACTAAAGAAAGTGTATGTTTATATTAATTAAACAAGGCATCTGAATTTAAATATCTTGGAACAACATTCACTGAAGATGATAAATTAGGTGAAGAAACTGACATTCGATGCAGTAAAGCTGGCCATGTATTGGGACAGCTAGCTCCCCTCTTACAGCATAAGGCAATCCCAGTCAGCACAAAGAGACATCTCATACAAATAAAAATTCATTCCCACCCTATGCTACCAGTGCCAGACGTGTTCATTCACTACAAATCATAAAAGAAAAAGAGTGACCATGGAAACGAGGTGTCTGAGAAAGACTGTAGGAGTGACCAGAAGAGATAAAAATCTGAAAAATCAGGAATGTGGTCATATGAGATAAAATCGGCACAGAACCAATTCTAAATTACATACAAAGACAGCAAATCCAACGTTTTGCCCACTTGGAGAGAATACCTTCTTATGCTATACAGTTCAAGGCATATACAAAAAGAGGAGAGGGACAGAGCAAGAGTTAGACCACGAACCACATGGAAGGATAAGATCAGAAAAACTAGAGTACCACGATGAGTCTTTGGTCAAGCAGGAGAAAAGCACGAAGTGGTACCTTTTATCTCTCTCAACACTGAAGTAGTAAAATATGATGTAAAGAAGAAAGAAAAAAACAAAGTGTGGGACAAAGCTTAGTAGTAGATGTATTTCAGATGCTCAGCATATGGATAATAAATATATATATTTATACAAAAACATTTGTGCGATTTTATTATTATTATTTTTTTTTTTTAACTCTTTCAGGCCCATGAATTTTGACAGACTTGGCTCACATTAAGTCCAAGTCCATGTACACAACAAAATCAAAAACTCAACTACTTTCAATCTGCTGCTAGCTAGCTGAAGCCGCCAATAGTCTCTGCTTATATTCGTGGTCTAATTTGGCTCACAATTATTTTCCCTTATAAAAATTAAAAGAGGGTGGCGGGGAAAAAATGGCAATTGAGAATGTAATATATTTCTCATCCCTACAAAGGAGATTCTTTTAAAGAGGAAAGAATGTACATTTTAAATCTGTTTTTGTTTTATACTGTTATTGTAAGTAAGAAAAAAAATTCAGCAGGTATAATAAAGACCAAATTTTACCCCCAAAAAATCTTCACTTACATGGTTTTGCAGATACAAGAGCAGTGAATATCCAAATTTGAGAATAACATATTAAAGTTTGTTCAGTTTCCTAACAAATTCAAAAGTTGTGATACGTTTATGGGTTGGTGTACCACATAGAGGTATAGAGGGGCAGATAACTTTCAAAGAAAAAAATTTCATGAAAATTTGATTTATAGTCCTTTACACACAAAATATTAACTTTGTAGTTATATACAGGCTGTAGGCTGCAGTGATTTCAATACAGCTAAGCCATAGTATGAGTATGATACTGTCTGAAATGGTTCTTTTCATGCAAATTCGGGGGACTGTCACATCCTTCGCAAATCAAATGGGTCCTCCTTGATGTACTTTATCAGAATAAACAGCTGCCGCTGGTGTAAATTTACCCTCAGAATCACATTCCTGAAAAATTTCATTGTTTCATTATTAGAAAAAATCTGACTGAAACAATTTAGAGCTTCAGTCACAGAAAGACACATT